CAATAATTCCGGATGGCGTCTAAGCAAGGTCTGACACAGTAACAAGAGCAAGCACACCAGCAGCAGCACTAGTCTACTAATAGATCAATAGTCCTCCCTTGCAGGGTCGATACCCTTTTCCATTTAGCAGGGGCCAAAGACCCCCACCTTTCATGGCGGGCCAGTACCGCAGGCTAGTCTGCCTGGTACAGACCCAGCGGCTGTAGAGCAATTGAAATCCTCGCCCACAGGGACTGATAATGCCTCATTTCAGCTCGTGCCAGTGCCAATGCCCTCAACACCCCCCCCCCCCCCCCCTGAGTAGGGTGAATACCCCAGGGAAGGGCAGGGCAGGGCAGACCCGGTACTGACCTGGTTGCTGTAGAGCAGGGTAGAGGGCGCTCTGGTCGGGTGGCGACGAGGGACGGCTGAACTGGCCAGTGCCCTGATGTGCACGCAACGGAAGAGACGCACAGCATAGCGGCACAAGAACACACGTACCAGACGGACTGTTTAGTGAATCGTCAGCAACTAGCTCAAACAGGGGCGTCGCTTCGACCGGTACGCCCATGGTCAAACCAGACTTTTCGTTGTGGAAACTGTACGCGTTCCGGCTACTAGTACTTGAACTCCAGTATGAAAGACTGTCCATGTAAACACAACACGACCCTACATGTATAGTCCTGGCTCAGGTGTAACGGCATGATACATTTTGGTGCGTCCATGGAGCTATGAAGCCGAGACCTCTGGTCGGCGGAGCTTAATGGGCCCCACCACCACACTCCATCATTCACCCCAGTGTCTGGAGATATGTGGATTTTGTAGAAAAAAAAAGAAAAAAAAACATGACATGTGAGAGAACACGACAGCTAGTGTGAGTGTGTTAAGTGTGTTACTGCACCCATACGGTGGCACTAAAGCACTGAACACAAACAGGCGTGAATGCAACTAACAAAGATAGCACTGGCTACAGTCAACTTGGCTAATAACGACTGCGGATATAACGACAATTGGCGAATAACGACAGAATCTCCATGCCCAGAGCAAAGTCCCATCTAACTGTGATACATATAATGAGACTTCGGGTATAAGGGCACTTCGTGAATAAGGACACTTTTCTGATGCCCCGCCGAGTGTTGTAATACGCAAAGTTAAATGTACTGCAGAAACTGTCCTAAAGTAATTGTTTTGATTCCACTAGAGAGGTGGCAAGTGAAATCCGACCTCTGGTTATTCATTTATTTTAAAAACTTTAAAGGGGAAGTTAAGGCAAAAATTAAAATTTCACCAGTTGTAGTCTTCGGGGTGCTGAGTCGAATGGTCGTGGTCCGAGGAAGCTGAGACGCTCCCTTCCTACTTGAATCCCAATCGAACTCACGCACTTCCACCGAAACTGGGTGACTGCGCCCTACGAGATGGGGATTTGTATGCAAAATGTCACTAAAAGCGCCATTTCGTTCTTATAAAAGCATGGATGACCGCAATTGGCCCATATGTTGTAGTCTTTTGGACGCTGAGTCGACTGGTTTTGGTCCGAAAAGGCTGCGATGCAGCGTTCCTCCTTTATTCCCAATCGAACATGGTTGAACAAGTGGTCACGTGCTCCTGGGTGCCCAAATCACCTGGTCACCACGCCAGCAGGTGACAACTTTCACACCAAGGGTCAACTCGAGTTCAACTCGAGTGACAGGACTGCACCCAAAAAAGGTCAAACAGGCTAGTAAGTTGTACCCTGCAGGCACGGTGACCAGGTGACTGGCGTACGCAGGAGCACGTGACCGCTTGTTCAACCATGTTCGATTGGGAATAAAGGCGGAACGCTGCATCGCAGCCTTTTCGGACCGAAACCAGTCGACTCAGCGTCCAAAAGACTACAACATATGGGTCAATCGCGGTCATCCGTGCTTTTATAAGAACGAAATGGCGCTTTTAGTGACATTTTGCATACAAATCCCCATCTCGTAGGGCGCAGTCACCCAGTTTCGGTGGAAGTGCGCGAGTTCGATTGGGATTCAAGTAGGAAGGGAGCGTCTCAGCTTCCTCGGACCACGACCATTCGACTCAGCACCCCGAAGACTACAACTGGTGAAATTTTAATTTTTGCCTTAACTTCCCCTTTAAAAGTATTTATTTCTGCACCTCGTAGCATGTCAAGACAGCCAATTGGATTGAGGAGAGGGTGAGACCAACCACGGGTATTGTGCTAGAGTGCAGCGCCGGTTCTACAGTCCATTCATCGGAAACTGGCCCGCTGGCTTTTGAAAGTCGGATTTGGGCCGAATTGAGGATCAAAAACCCACTATAAATCTCAAAAATCTGGGTTTTGCATCTGCTTCTCCGTACATTTTGCCATGGCATACCTGTAAAACCTGGCTGAATTTCTATTTCCCTGTTCTTGGACTTTTCTGGCCTCAAATGTGGCAAGGAGTAATTGCACGGGTCACACAATGCAGGATGTACTGTTGTTTTCACGATATCTACGACTATGTACGGGAGACATCAAAAAGTTAGGGTGCCGGTTTCCAATGAATGGACTGTAGCGGTGTCTATTCAGGTAGTGTCCGAGCGCGGCGTGCTGGAGTTTTCCCAACGCGAGTGCACCGGGCTGGGGTCGAATTATCAGTTGCCAGCACTGCACGGTAAAACCTGTCAAGGCGACCACTCGGAGGACAAGGTGACCACCTGTCCCAGAAGATCACTGCAACCGGGACCAAGGGATGCTATTTCTAATCAAATAACCCTGGATACTTAGACCACCCGGTTACAGAGACCACGTTTTGAAGGTGCCTTGGGCGGTCGTCTTAAAGCATTTTTCACTGGACTTCACAAAATGCAAAGGGGCAGGCACATGTGTGCCAGTGCACTACTTGTACATGCAGGAGCCAGCTGGTCAGCCATGGTGCAACCCTTGTATTAGCTCACCTCCTTACGAACTGCTGGAGCAATGTTCAGCTTTTTCTCATTGCAATACACCGACTTCTGTGCATACATACGCACATATGCACACACGCACATGCACGTACGCGCTCACCGTGCACGCGCTCACCATGCACGCGCTCACCATGCACGCGCTCACCATGCACGCGCTCACCATGCGCGCGCTCACCATGCGCGCACACACACACACACACACACACACACACACACACACACACACACACACACACACACACAGGTATGTACAGTTGGGTGTATAGAAAGGCCTAGTCAAAACTATACGGCTTCTGTGCTTTGTGTGCTGTATGTGTGTATGCGTGTACACAACAGGAAAGTCAGAAGTCATGTCAGCTTCCATCATCTTATCCGCCTAATAGTTCACAGCTCATTGACGTGATATGATTACGTCATCAGTTGACTTCGGTCTGGCAACGTCGCACCAGCACAGCGATGCAATACCAACTCACATTGTATTTGTATGCATAGCGCCAAGAGCCCATAATCCCCCAGTGTGCGCAACTTCACGGATCAGATCTGGGACGGCGAAATCCATGTTGCACGTCATAGTGTGACATCATGAGCAGAGGAAGTGTGCTTGGGTCTGGACCGCGTCGACGGAATAACGCAAGTCCGACCCAAAAGATGACGCACCTCACGGATTACGCCGCGCCACAACCCCATCCCGGTTGCGCACTCTGGCCCGGGGGGGGGGGGGGGGGGAGGGGGGATTATGGACTCTTGGCAGCGCTCATAAGCGGCTCTGCTGACTCGCGCTGTGCTACTGAGCACTTCATACATGCCAACCGTCCAGGGTTTCCCGGGACAGTCCAGGGAATAGGGTGTTTGTCCCGGGAATAGGGTGTTTGTCCCGGGGTCCAGGGAATAGGGTGTTTGTCCCGGGGTCCAGGGAATAGGGTGTTTGTCCCGGGGTCCAGGGAATAGGGTGTTTGTCCCGGGACAGTCCAGGGATGTCCTGCGAAAGTCCAGGCATTGACATAGAAATTTTGAAATCAATGTTTTTCTCCTGTTCAGTGTTTCCTCGAACTTGCAGATTCGTTGCAAGTACACACAGCACGTAGTAGACAAAAAAAACCCATGTGAAACTGCAACGGATCGCCGGTATACCGGTAGTCAACAGAAATTTCACTTGTGCAGTTACAGTTCAATGTAAATGATGACATCCTTTTTCGCTTGGGCAGTAGTCATGAAATACATCTGTTGTCATGAAATACATCTGCTCATGATGGATGCACCAGAAAAATTGGTGTCCAGGGGAAATGGTCAAAATCAAGGGAATTTAGCCTACCTCAGCAAGGGCTCGATTGGCATCCTCCTCCCTTTCAAACGTTATGAATCCGAACCTGGACAGTTCAGAAGGTCAAGCCGGACATTGAAGCACATTTTCTAAGTTCAACGGTTCAGGTGGCGGCATTAGCAAGAGCAGCAGTAGCAGCACTGTAATTAACATGCGGATCCATTGAGCCAGCACCATCATCAGTGTGTGCTACAAAATTAAAGCAACATTGAAACAACTGTCCCGTGTTCAGCCGATTTCATTTGCTAGTAGCAGCACTCAGCAGCACTGCAAGAACACCGGACTCCAGAAACAGTAGTGACAGCAGCAGCAGCAGCAGCAGCAGCAGCAGCAGCAGCAGCAGCAGTGGCCTCAGAAACAGCAGAGACAGCAGCAGCAGCAGTGGTCTCAGGAACAGTAGCAGCAGCAGCAGCAGTGGCCTGAGAAACAGCAGCCGCTGAGCAGCAGCAGGAGCAGCAGCAGCCACAGAAACTGTAGCGACAGCAACAGCAGTGGCCTCAGAAACAGCAGCGACAGCAGCAGCAGCATCGTGCGTTCAATAAAACACGCTTTAGCAGCAGCAGCAGCAGAAACAGTAAAGCCAGCTGAGTGACAAGAGCACCAGAAAGCGTGAGAGAAAAGTAAGAGCAACCGCCGCCTCAAACCAATGGCCACAAGAACCAGCAGCAGCAGCAAAAGCAAGAACACTCCGTCTTTCCCTCGGTCTCTCTCTCTCTCTCTCCCTCTCTCTCTCTCACTCGTAACTTAAAAAGGGAAGTTGAAACATCCGGTATGATCACACTAAACGAAAGACAGCAACGTGCACATCAGCAACAAATGGCAAGAAGCCAGCCGTCTCACTCACCCCTTTGACACTCCCTTGCGATCTGTGATGATCTTGGAGTCTGTAACCTCCGCTTCGTAGTACCTTTCAAAGAACAACTTTAGCTCCAGTTCGGTTGTCTGGTACAGGAATTGAAAGAGATGCCGCAAGGACCGCGCGAGTCAGAATTGCACAGAGAGATGAACAGACAGATCGGCGGACGGACAGACAGACAAACAGATAGATGGTTGGACAGGCAGACAGACAGACGGACAGCCAGACAGAAAGACAGGCAGATAGCCAGGCAGACAGCCAGACAGACAGACAGACCGGCAGCCAAGACAGACAGGGAGAGAGTATGTGCATGAGAGCGAGACAAACCCAGATTCTTACAATGGTCGTACACACGTGCCAAAACTTCACTCAAAATGCAGTCCCGTGCTTGTCCAAAACCACCCACACACGTTCATGCACTCACACACACGTGGACACACACACACACACGCACACACCAAGCCCACACATATACGCACACTGCATACGTACGTCATAGGCAATACCGCCGACGAAGACGCGCTTAGGGATAGGACAGCCGCGCGGCACTGCTCGCAATCCCGGCACCAGAGCACCTCCCCCGCCACCGCCAGCGATGGCCAACTCATCATCTCCTGAGCAGTAGGAGGCGGCATCAGCACGGTCACCATTGCCCACGCAGTGCGCGCTCTCGTCGATCGACGACTGGCTGTTCATGCTCGAAGACGCCGGTGTGGAACTGGCAGTTGGCCCGCCGTTGAGCAGTCGCAGCGGGGTGCGAAACGCCGCTGCTGCCGTCGTCGTTTTGCGAGACGCGGCGGTGGTTGCCGTTGACGATGACGAGGACATGCTGATGTTGGTGGTGACCGCCGCAGTGGTGGTGGTGGTGCTGGTGCTGGTCGAACGTCTGGATCCGTCACGTCGCGCTGGGCAGGCGCTGATCGTGGGAGCAGGAATGACCGAGCTGTCCGTCGAAGTCTCCAGGACCATGTTTGTAGACAAACACTGCGCGGAGGACAATGCCAGGAAAGAGAGTCACAAACACACGCATGCAAGCACACACACACACACACACACACACATGAACGCACGCACATGCACACACACGCACACACACACACACACACACACACACACACACACACACACACACACACACACACACACACACACACACACACACACACATGAACGCACGCACATGCACACACACACACACACACACACACACACACACACACACACATGAACGCACGCACATGCACACACACACACACACACACACACACACACACACACACAGGGTAAAGATTTGCAGCATAATCCAGCGAATCCTGACAACCCGCATCCCACGGCACATCTGTCCACATCTGTCTCCCAGCAATTTGTCGGTGGTACTGTTGCCACAGGGACATCGTCACGAGCCTAAAATGAAAATGTTCTGCAAAATTCTTGAACACATTGACTGGGCGCACACATAAGGCCTGGATGTTCAGCTGACGGACTGCGCATTGGTGTTCTACCGTTGTGATTGCAAGTTCAACTCCAACCGAACAACTTCAGAAGTTACATCTTCATCCGTTTTGGTAGAGGATTTTCAACAGACACAGTACTAAGCGGGGGGGGGGGGGGGGGGGGGAGGGAGGTGGCGTGGGGAGGGGGGAGGGGGAGAGGGGGAGGGGGGGGGGGGGGTGTTCACGCAGTTAATCCAGCAGAAATGTTCCAAATTGGAGGTACCAGATTAGAGAGCTCTTCGGCTGTACCAGAAACCCGTGGTTGTCCATTTCTACTTGGGGCCATGTCAGCGTACATGTACAATTTCTTAAAGCCTCTTATACGGGCAATCAGAGAACATGATATCACTGGTCTGACGCAACAACTAAAGAAAAAGAAAAAGAAAACAAACAAAACAAATTTAAATAAAAAGAAAATGAAACTTTACAATCTGCACACAATGTCAACTCCATTTGAGAACACACACCTGACTGTATAGACTGGGTTCACATCAAGTTAGTGCAGAAAGCGATCATGTCATGTGGACAGTGGAACCAACATGGTCACTGACATCACGTGACCCGTAGATGCAGGAGTTGAGTAGAGTTGTAACCTACATGTCCACCAACATCATGTGACCAAATCTGCGTGGGAAAATGATCATGATTGTCATGTGGACAGTGGAACCAACGTGGCCACCGACATCATGTGACCCGTAGATGCACGTCGGGGGATTCCCCAATATGGCTATCTCACTGTATGATCATGTGATCGATGCGAGACCACTCTATAGCCAACAGGACCACCGGAAGCAGCTTTTTGATTGGTCCGGTAGTATCATGGCCATTCATACTTTGTTATGTATTTATATTTAAGGATTTCCCAAAGGCTTTGGGCCTGTCAAGGGGATCTCCTGCAAGAAGAAGGAAATGACAAATTTATGTTCGAGGGAGCAGTTAATCGAGGATTTATTATTATTATTATTATTATTATTATTTTTGTTTTACATCGGAAGCTCAACAGTGCACCTGCACAAATATGAAGAGGCCGGCGGGCCTGGCCAACCTTGCGAGTAACGACCCTCCATCGGTCATGCACAAGAATATCGTTAGTCGCCAGGTACAAATTTGTTTGTCCCCTGGACGGTATAGACAGGCCACACAAATGATCTCATGGCGGGGAACAATGTCAAGGTGGGGAGTCAGCGGGCACCGCTTATCGGGGCTGAGTATAGCGCGAATCAGCGGAACCCGCGGCATATGGGCTCTATGTATACCGTGCGAGTCACTAGTGGCGCATCGCTGTGCCGCAACTAATGATTATGTTACTTTGCCAAAGCATGTAATCGTATAACCTCTACAGTGAATTTTTTTACTGTACGTGTTTCCGAAGGTGCGGAACGCTAAACGCGAAAAAGGGATCGAGCTTCGACTGTTCGGTTCTTTACAGTCAGGCGCGAACGCGAGTCGAAATTTGGCTAAACATCGCGGTCAATCTCCTCAGCCCCCAAGGAAGACCACGACTTTACTGCACGGGCGCGCCTCGCTAATTGAATTTTCAGCAGCGCAATTTTATAAAAAATGGTAATCCTTCAGACCGGTACAGGAGCGATACACGACTACAAGAGTTGTCCGTAGATCTACTGGCATCGAATCGCGTCTTCACGAAGCATGCACGCACGCCGCACTTCACGCTCGCGTAGAGTAACGAGAATACAATCACAATGAAGGACAGGTAGACACCACTCACCAGTCACCACACGGACAAGCACACAGTAAGCATTCGCCACTCACCGCTATTCCTTCAAGGAAACGCGAAGGAACGAACAGTTGGTCGACGGCCGCCGCAGAGTTTCCGCAAGAAAAGCTGTCGAAGTTGACGCAAACACTGTCGAACTGTCGAGAGATTGCCGTTGCGTCTGCTCCTGGCCTCGGCGGACAATGAAACTTCGACAGAAAACCTAGTCAAACTCAGCTGGTTTGCTTCGGCGGCGACTCACCACAAAAGAGCCGGGATAGCTACTTGGCCCTGTCTTGCCAGTCGTGTGGACAACGGAAGCGCGCTCACGAGTGTCACCCGGCTTCCTATTTTCTCGGAGTTGAAGCCTGCTTCTTCTCCTCCTCGACTGTCCGCGTCTCTCTATCTCTCTCCCTCTATCTCTATCTCTCTCTCTCTTTTTCCGTCGCTGCTCGGTGTTCGACGTGAAAGGAGCTGCGCCCGAGCTGACTGGAAGATGCAGGCGCGTACACACAACCACTCAACTACACTGCAGCAATGGACGAGCATCCACCGTTCATAGACTCCTCTGATCTGCGCTGCGATATATGACACGGTCGGTGCTCCAGCTAGATCTAGTAGGTATACGTGCCTTTGCAGAAAGTATCACCGAAACTCAAAGCCACCGAGTATCAGCACTGCACTGCAGCAGTAACTGTTGGAACGTAGAATCTACGGATTTTGGGGCGGAAATAGCAGCAGCAGACCTCGATGGAGCACCGAAATCCTCAACTAACAAGCGAAACTTCGGCGGTAAAGGTGCAAGAAGTTGCAACTATTCGACAGTATTTCCAGATCGTGCGCGGACGAACGAAGGACGCGTGATGAATCATGGAGTAGACCTACGTCGAGTAGAAAGAAACATGATCGCTCCAGGCAACGGGTGATCTGCTAGCTGCATGCCTGGCAAATCTCAGCCTCAGGTGCGAAATCACAAGTCCGTCCGATCGAGCCTTGCTTTGCACCTCGGTGGTAGATCTAGTACCGGTGGTATACCGCCAGGGAAAAGGTGAAAACTCGAGATTTCTTGATTCTCTGGTAGATCAACATGACTTGTTTTTGAGAACGGGTTTATTCACAACACCGTGAGACCATGAAGCCTGAAGGTAGAACCAAAGCAAAGAGTTGGTTTACTGTCGGAGTGTCTGTAGATCTACCCTTTTTTCTTTTTTTTTTTTCATGATAATACTTTTTGTTTTTGTTTTTTGTAGATCTACCTGGGTGGCCCGGGGCATGGACGTTGATCCATGCAGGACTATTTTCCAAAATGTAGATCGACTCGATCTACACAACACAAATATAGTACGGCAGTAGCAAGAGTACTGTCGCCCACGCAGCCATCAGTCCGGACCAAAACTGGCAAAGGGTCTTGAGTATCAATATAATCGTGGAGGGAATGGCCAATCCTGTTCTCAAAGCCGCTAGCGAGGCACGAGGCATCGCCCGACAAAAGCACCAGGAAAACGTCGGTGGGTGCCGGCAGCAGCAGACTGCACTTCGAAGTATTGTACTAAGTATTTTGTTTTTATTTTACATCTATGCATACGCTATGGTCTGCTACTAGGGAGTGTATGTGATCCATGTACGTGTCTGTGGGAAGTCCATGACTTCCTCCCCACCACGCCCTCACGTGCCCGACCTGCGGCTATCCGTCGGCTCGCCATAGCGAGCTTCGGGACCTCCTGGCCTGCGTACTGCAGGATGCACTGCCCGATGTCGAGATCGAGCCACGTAAGTCGTTTGCTTCCACTAGGCACTACACGGTGAGGACATCTCTGCCGCCTCGGCTAATCGTCAGCCAGAGGCACGTCTGGACATACGGGCTAGGGGTTTCTGGTCGCGGGGTCACTGACCTTGGCTTGGGCCGTCCTTGCCGTCTCGTCCCAGCTGTTTCTCTTGCTAGCACGTGACATGTACTCAGTAAAACCTGTGTCGTTATTCGCGGACTACCGTTTTCCGATGGTTTTATCCGAGGTTGATATTCACGAGGTGGACTGGCACACATACGTAACAACATGTGGTTTGGAGAGGGAAAAAAAGCGACCAGCGTATCCGGGGGGGGGGGAATCGGGTACACGAATAGCTAGCAGTACTCAGCACTCCCCTCAGGCCTCAGTCCTCACCATCACAGACCAAGAAGACACAAAAACAGGTTAGTTCAAGTATGCAGCATGAGTGGTATGCATGCGCATTTACAGTACGAGTACTAAAAACGGGTTTTTACAATTATTTTAGTACTCTGGCTCCTACGTCTACGAGTCCAAGCTGTTGCCAAGCACATGCACAGGTACAGCGCGGTCAGCCGCGGCATAGCTAGCGCGGCCTAGCTAGCGCACGATCGGACTCATGCTCAGCTGATCGCATGAGCTCTATCATGCAGTGAGCGACGTGATTATGAGCCGGAGCTGCCCCGGAGCGTGCCTCTTCATGACGTCATTCAGGTGCGATCGCACTCATTTTTTTGTCTTGTTCGGAGCCTTTTGCATTTTGATTTTGACTTCACAGTTCTAGCCAAGCCAGGACTCAGAAGTTTTATAGCGTTTGTCGAATTTTCTCTGGGAACGGTATTGATCATGGCGGAGGGGGACAAGCCGGAAGGCTCGCAGCCGTTCGACATGCAGAAGGCTATCAACAAGTTGGTCATCGGTGAAAGGGAGCTGCCTCGCAGTGCCCCGCGAACAGAACGCGAGGCGCAGGAGCGAGACTATAAATTCTGGAAAACACAGCCCGTTCCAGGATTGAGTGAGTAGTCGAGTAACTGCTTGTCTCTCTTTTCTTACGTGATAACCTGTAGCCAATTCCGCCGGTGCGTAAGCAGCATACCTAACATATGCTACTGAGTGTGTGCACGCGTAGTCACAAATGTCTGCCGAGATTTCTTGGGATGTGCTTTTGTAGGAATTTTGAAAATGCTGAGACAATTTGTAGGATTTGTACAGGAAACAGGGAACGATTTCTACACGGCGTCTTACAGGCGCTGGTGTGTTTGAATTGATTCGCTCATTCCAGTCATGTTCCCCGGTGATCGTCCCGTCTGTACAACTCCGAATCACAACTGACCATGCATGTATGCAATGCATCACTGAACATACCTATTTTATGACCTGGGGGGAGATTTTGAAAAATGCGCAAGGAAATCGCTTTATTTATTATTTTTTACAATGATCACAGCTCGCAGGTAAAGACAAAAAATTGCATAGTGGGAGCATAGCGATGGTGAAGCGTTTTGCCCTCAGCCTGGGTGATGGGGGGAAGTCCCTCAGCCTGGGTGATGGGGGGGAAGTCCCTCAGCCTGGGTGATGGGGGGAAAGCTTCCCAGCTGGCCCATATCACCTACATGTACATGGTAGACAGTGGTATAGCGTGTCATTGTGTTCTGTTCTGCTATCCACCGTTCAACTAATTCACAACACACCACGTATTGTATACACAGCAGTGAAAAAAGAACTGGAAAAAAGAAACACAGAAAAGAAGAAAAAAAGGTGGGACCGAAAGATAAAAGCTGTTGTTGTTGTCGCCGTCGATGCTCAGATGACACAAGTGAAGCTGATGTCAATGAACCAGTTGAGGCCGATAAGGACGTGGCTGAGATTCGGCAACAGCCTCTCGTCCTCCCTGCACAGTTTGCATGGAGCAATATCGACGCCAGTGATGAGGCACAGGTAGCGTAAATCAATGTGCTGGTCTCTGTGGGGTCTCTCTGTCTCTCTCTCTCTCTCTCTCTCTCTCTCTCTCTCTCTCTCTCTCTCTCTCTCTCTCTCTCTCTCTCTCTCTCTCTCTCTCTCTCTGTTTCTCTCTATCTATCTATCTATCTATCTATAATCCTCTCCATCTCCATCTCCATCTCTCTCTCTCTCTCTCTCTCTCTCTCTCTCTCTCTCTCTCTCTCTCTCTCTCTCTCACTCACTCACACACACACACACACACACACACACACACGCACACACACACACACGCACGCACACACACACACACACACACTCATCCCATGATTGAGCATAGTGCAAATAGCTCATTCCATGGCCTGTTGTTCAAGTCACGTTGAGTGAGTCACTGCTTCCACTGATTCTTTTCTGCCTGACAATCATTGGGAAATTTAGTACTACACTGGTTGCTTTATAAGCCGGCACCGTTTGTGCTACAGAAATTCTGCTGGATTAGGAGGGGGGGGGGGGGGGGGGGGGAGGCGGCTGGATTAGAAAATCTGATTTAGCGCTGCAATGTGCATGAAGAGGACATTTGGTTGCTGAAAATTATGCTGGTTTATAGAGGGTGCTGGATTAAAGAGGGACAACTGCAGTGAGTGGTGAGGGCATGGCTGCTACACTCTATGCCCGCTATGCCCATGTTTGATGCAGAGTAGTGTAGGTTGTGCTTTACCTGTAAGTAGTATGTGTCGGGCCGGTTCTACGACTGGCACATGCCCCAGCCCGAAAACATGGGGTATTATAGCCGATTGGTTTGTAGTAGGGGTGAAACGGTTCGGGTAAGGAACCGGTTTTGGGACCGCCGGCTGAAAAGAATCGGGTACCCGTTCCGTCAAATTTCGAGCCGAAACTCGAAAAATCTCGTTCTCGTACGAATACATGTGCACGTCAAGTCTACTCAAGATTTAAATGTCTTACCTTGCGATCACCGCTCTTCCAACAAGTTCTCTATGTCGTTATCTTCTTCGTACATGGACTCTCCGATATCTCGTTCTTGATCTTGCTCGTAAACATGTTTTCTAAAAAATAATTGTCGCGAACGCATTTTGTCGGTCAGGAGAAAAGAGTGCATGGAACCCATACCCGAACCGTGCGAAACTATGCTGGTATTAGGGTACCCGAACATGAAAAACATGGAACTGTTTCACCCCTAGTTTGTAGGCTTGCCTGCGAATCATGAGGTTCCGAGTTGAAAACCTGCGCTGGTAACGGGGAATGTGTTTAGTGCTCTCTCAATCGGGGTGATGCGGGCGAGTACCACTTTACATGCAATGAACTGTGCCGACACCCACGGTGAACCGGGTACTCACTTGCTCGGTGTGAGGGTAACAAGGATGCGGTTTATGTGCGGACACCATCTTCCAAGATGAACTTCTTGCTATCAAAGCCACCGAGAGCTATCTTGCGAATCCTTTCACCATGCACTCGATGCTTACGACTCCGCAACACGCTCATCATGGTTCTCATGACTTGTGTCTCTTCCGTGAGACATGAGCGGTAGGCGGCGATTGCGATGCTTGTCTTCACAACATCTCGTTGCACACCCTTGGCTCGTTTGCCGCAGCTGCCCCCTGCACATTCATACGCATACATTTAGCTGCGGAGTGCGATAAACTCAGACATCGGCTCACCACCCAACTCATCCTTGAACTTTCCGACAACCTTCTTGTTCGCAGTAGTATGCAGTGGCTGATCCTCGGGATAGTTTGATGTGTCGTAAACATCAAGATCCTGCTTCATGTCAGCATAGAGATCGTCAGTTTGCATGGAGAGCACCAGACTATCGGTATGCGTATGGAGTAGCTGTAACTTTGGTGTCGTACTGGAGGGCGGCCTGAAGCGCCTCGTCTAGGGTGGCCACGTTAAGCTCCCGTATGCGTACGCGCATTGCCCGAGAATCCAGGCCAGATAGGAACTGATCTTTGGAAAGAAGGTCTCGGTCCACATCCTGCATCTAGGGGCAAGCGAGGCGTCCCAGTTCGCGTACAGCCTCGCAGTACTCACCCAGCGAGTCCTTGTCTCGCTGGCGATGGGCTAGGAATTCTGCGCGGCACAGGTCTCCCAGCGATTCCTTGTCTCGCTGGCGACGTGCTAGGAATTCTGCGCGGTACAGGTCTCCTCGCTGTGCTGGGGCGAACCTAGCTTGCAATGCCTGGGCCAAAGCGGCCAATTGTCCTTGTCGCACAGCTTGCGGCAGGGCCTGGTAAAACAAGAGCGCCTCGCCGTTGAGCGAGAGCGGCAGGAATTGGACGGACTCTTGCGGTGTCCACCCGTTGACAAGGGCAACTTGCTGGAACTGTTGCCACCAAGATTCCCATCTATCCTGGTGGCCGCCACCAAACTTGCGGCTTGAGCGTTCCATAGTAGAAGTCGTACATTAGCAGTTTGGACAGGTCCAAAATGGCTGCACCCACGTAGACGGGTTTCGATAGCGTGACCTTCTCTCTCAAACATTCAACTGATACAAGATCGTTATCGAAGACAACGCTTTGTATGTACAATGGCTTGTTGATTCGACGCTTCAGACGATCTTCCTCTTCCGGTGCTCTCATCACACACAGGTTGATGCGATTCCTTACGTTCTCCATAGTCTTGCTGATTTCTTGTGTGTGTGTGTGCGTGTGTGTGTGTGTGTGTGCGTTTGCATAATTGCTTGTGTGTACGTGTGTGCACGTGCACATATGTGTGTGTGTGTGTGTCCTCCCCGTTCAGTTGAACGATCTGTACGAGTTGTTGCGTGATAACTACGTGGAGGACGACGACATGACATTCCGGTTTGATTACTCCAGGGAATTTCTGAAATGGTAAGGGAATTTCGTCGCAGTTTACATGACATCTTCTACCTGCTCTGTTCCCTAGACATTTGTTTACATGACATGCTCAACAATACGTCAACGGCTCGATGATATATTTTGTTATTTCTTGTTTTCTCTCCACAATGTTAAACTCCTAGCTAAACAGCATGCTTGCATTTCTGGTACATGTTGAGACTGAGTTGATGTCACGCCTAGTCGGAAGTATCCGGGTCAACACAACGATCTCTCTCTCTCTCTCTCTTTCTCTCTCTCTCTCTCTCTCTTTCTCTCTCTCTCTCTCTCTCTCTCTCTTCTCTCTCTCTCTCTCTCTCTCTCTCTCTCTCTCTCTCTCTCTCTCTCTCTCTCTCTCTCTCTCTCTCTCTCTCTCTCTCTCTCTCTCTCTCTCTCTCTCTCTCTCTCTCTCTCTCTCTCTCTCTGAACTGGGTTCTTAATGCACCATACCCAGTTCACAAGGCTGGGCGGGGTTGTGAGCAGGCTTTCATTTAATCTTTTCTTATTATTTCTGCTTTTCATCTCATTACAAAACTTCTGCGCATTTTTCTCCATCTGCGCATAAAATCTAGACTGACAACCTGCTTGTTAAATCATGCACCTGCTTTCAGGCTTAAAAACCCTGTTGTAGAGGTCTCAGTCCTCATTTGTTAGACTTGCCTGTCTTTATAAATGTAACTTACTTAGTCTCTCTCTCTCTCTCTCACACACACACACACACACACACACACACACACTCCTTCTCTCAATGCCTCCTTCTCTTGCCGTCACTGCAGGGTTTTGCTACCGCCCGGCTACAAGCTTGACTGGCTCGTGGGTGTCCGTGTGAAGAGCAACAACAAGCTAGTTGGCTTCATCAGCGGCATTCCAGTTCACATTCGCATCTATTCAAAGTAAGTGCGGCTATCCTGGGGTTAAGAGGTTGAGTTTCAAAGACAGTGGGTATCCTACTGCTGTCTACACCTGCTGTAGAACACAATCATGTTTGTGTGTACTTCGAAGTACTGTAGAACCGGAAAATTTCAGGGAGATTTAATATCGGTAACTTCGGTACAGGTGATTTTTACCTATAGTAAAATTCAACACTGCCCTGCCACACAGTGTGCAAAATGCATTTTTGGATCTGGAAAACTGGTTTACCGAAAGACCCTCTCTCTCTTTCTTCATCATCTCTCTCTCTCTCTCTCTCTCTCTCCCTCTCTTTCTCCATCATCTCTCTCTCTCCATCTCGTTCCAGGACCTTGAGTCTCGCAGAAGTTAACTTCCTTTGCGTGCACAAGAAGCTGCGTTCCAAACGCTTGGCCCCGGTTCTCATCAAGGAAGTCACAAGGCGTATCAACCTGACGGGTATCTTCCAAGCTGTCTACACTGCTGGAGTGGTTCTACCCAAGCCTATCTCCAAGTGCCGGTACGTTTGTATCTGTGTGTGCGTGTTTGTGGGGGTGGGGGTGATGTAATCCCAGCATAAGTTGCTTGTCTAACGTAGCTATTCGCTACCATCGCATCCGCAATGGGCATGTGCACGTGTGTGTGCGTGTGTGTCTGGGTGGGTGTGTGTGCGTGTGTGTCTGGGTTGGTGTGTGTGTGTACGTGTGCACACGCATCTAGGAAGCAGCATGAGTGAGCGGAGCATGAAAACATGGACTGTGTGTGCATTGAGACGCATACTCAAGTCTATTATGAGCTGGGGTAGTGGCCGTCACTTTCGCCTGACCACTTCTCCTTCAGTCACGAAATACCGTCCTGACTGGACACCTGTGGTCAGAACCAATCGTTGGTAGCTATACAAATGCGTTTATTTGTTGGCATTCGATGCGCATTTCATCCTCTACCAGGATCTTTTTCGGTTTCTTTTTTCCCTCGATCACATGAAGACGGATGCTCGTCTTAGCTTGTGCTGTCCCCGTTGGTGTGTGTTGCACGTGAGCATGTCCGCGGGTGATGCGAGTGTGTGTGTGTGTGTGTGTGTGTGTGTGTGTGTGTGTGTGTGTGTGTGTGTGCGTGCCTGTGTGTGCGTGTGTGTGTGTCTGGGAAGGTGGTTGTAGTGCAGGCCAATCGACGGCTTATCAGTTCAGCTGGTATTTACTATGTCATACACACTTCACAACCATCCACATACTTATAGCACTCTCTGGTAAATTTAATTTAAAATGAACATAGCTACAAAGACAACTAATTGCACAGTAAGCATTTCGTATATGTCGACATGTATGTGTAAAATCAAGAGTCCATAACCCAAGAGTATGCAACTGTGATCTCTTTTCTATGGGCCAACCGCGCGGCGCGCTGCCTTCATTACATCATTCAGCTGCAGTCCGCGCACTGCGGAAAATCAAACACCGCACTTTCCCTCTAGTTTGAAATGAACTTTCGTACGGAACTGGAGTTCACGCGCCAGAATTCAGAGATTGTGTAGGTACTGGAACGAATCGAGCAAAAACGGATGGGCTCGTGCGAGAAATTGAGAGTTTGAATGCATGCTTTCAGAGCGTGATGAAGGCAAGTTACGTAATGAAGGCAGCGCGCCACGCATGCACCCATAATCACAGTTGCATACTCTTGGGTTATGGACTCTTGGTAAAATGTTGTACGATTATCGCAAGGCACACAAGGAAGGGAAAGTGAGGATTCGTTCAGAACTGTTTGCTTGTTACAGTCATCGTGTAAAATGAACATATTCCATATTCTAACGGGAGACCCTTCACAACCATATACATAATTTTAATCAAAGTAATCTCAATTTTAAATTTGGACTTCACGGAGAATTTCAAAGTGATCTCTATAATAGTATCTGGTTACAGTGATAGAGAGTTACTCTTAACTCGTATCCATATGTGACGATGTCCTTTTCCTTTCTACATTTATTATTGGCTCAACATCCGAGTTTCAAAGTAATCTCTGACTTATTTTTGTATTTTTAGACAAACATATTCCAATTTCCAACAGGAAAGGGTCCCTCCACTGCCGCCCATGTACGGAGTGTGCAATTAATTCGTTCACCAGTGTCTTCCCTGTGGCGGAATAGGCCGTCGAAGTCTGACGTCGCAGCTTCTTGACAACGCATAGTTACTTGGCCAAGTGGTGACAAACAAAAGTCGTGTCACCTGAACTTGTCGTGTTTCCAGTGGCAGCAGCATGCAGTGAACACAGTTACAGCAGCATTTTGACTGAGGAGCGCGTGAGCGAGACTATATTTTATTTCAAACGAGAGAGCTTGGAAGCTCAGGGCCCTACGCTATGCTTTTTTGCCTTGATGACCTAAACCAAAAAAAGCATAGGGATGTTATAAATTCTTATAAATTTCTCATTTTTTTTAAGACATAACCTGGGATTCGAACCCGCACTATCGCCCTGCATGCATCCCCCGATACACTTCGCATACATACATACGAATTCTTCCAAGTTGCTTCACGTTATGATCTTTCATTTGAAAGCCCTATTTGAATATGCATTGTGGCCAGCCGTCTTTGATAGTCCGGTACGGGACAGGTACGGTTGAGGTAATACGACACCGTCTACCGCATTGATGACATAGGCAAACAAAGCATAGGGATGTTATAATTTTTTCAATTCTCCTATTTTTCAGGCATATCCGGGGATTCGAACCCGCACTATCGCCCTACATGCATTCCCTCATACACTTCGCATTCATACTCATTCTTCCAAGTTGCTTCACGTTATGATCTTGCGTTTGAAAGCCCTATTTGAATAGTGCGGCCAGCTGTATGTGGCCAGCTGTGTTTGATGGTACGGTACGGTACGGGACAGATACGGGATAGCGCCAGGCGTGACACAAACAAACACCAAATTAAAGCTGTGTGGACCCTGGCTAGCGCCAGACGTTACTGAAGTAACGTCTTCTGCATAGCCACGGGAATAAACTGCTACTTGTCGCCGAGTTTGTAGTTTTCGCTTTGTAGAGAAGCGAAGGAGAAGCCGTAGCTGATTTTTTGCTTGGCCAATGCTGTGCCTGTACTGTCGTTCGGCTTTGCATGTAGTCGCCGGCCAAGACTGAGTCTCTGTTGTAGGCTATCGCAGCGATCGCTGATTTCTTTTAGTTCTGAGAACAACCAACTCCAGGCTCGTTTCCTTGTCCAGCGGCAAGCGAAAATCAGAACTCCTATCTCTCAGATGCTGGTGAACACTCCGCAGGAAAACACTGCACGATGGCTTAAGAGCGAAGGAGAAACTTCTTGAAGTAAAACAAAATTTGAAGTCACGATCTTGCACCAGCGCGCCCCAGTCAAAGTGATGCCGTGACCGTTGGAAACACGACAAGTGCAGGTGACGCGACTTCTGTTTCTCACCACTTGGCCTTGTAACTACGTGTAACTACGAGTTTTCAGGCAGCGTGACGTAGGCACTTCGACGGCCTATACTGAGAAAAGCCAACTGTGAATTTCTTCTTCCCTTCTGCAGGTATTTCCATCGGCCTATTCAGCATAAGAAGCTTCTGGAATGCGGCTTTACCGTACTGGCCCCAAACGTCACAATGCAGCGGTTCATGAAGCTCTATAAGCTGCCAGAGGTGCGTGGATGTGGGCATGCGTGTGGGTGTATGTGGGTGTGGGTGTGTGTGTGGGTGTGGGTGGGTGTCCGTCGGTGTGGGTGTCCGTCGGTGTGGGTGTCCGTCGGTGTGTGTGTGTGGGGGGGGGGGGGGGGGGGGGTGCGAGTGCGTGCTTGGGACAGTACTACAGGTCGTCTCTTGTTAATACATAATCTCTTGGACTTGACAAATGTTATGTATTAACCCTTTACTGTCCGTACATACAAGCATCGATCCAATGGGATCGATGGGGTAGGCATTTTGAAATTATCGTAACTTGCTCAAATCTAGGTCTTTTGGAGAGATCGAAATATGTAGGTCGAAGAGAAAAGTCTCAGCTGTCGCCTCGAACGATTCCCGAAGCGATACAAAAAGCGGTTGCTGAGTTATCGCACTCGTAATTCTGGTCCCGGGAAATGTGCGTTCAGAGCGCGACGCGCATGTCGACGGCTGGGATTTTCCCTGTTTACGTCACCTGTTGGCAAGGCTACACCGATTCAAATTCAAAAGCAGGTTCCCGGGAGTCTCTACGAAAATATTTGAGCTCGATACGAGCAACAGGGGTGACATGGTGGATTGAGATCGATCTCGAGCGTGAGCTCAGCGCTTTTGCGCGTTCCCTGGCTTGCAGCGCTGGACCAGTGCATCCTGTGGCGCCGAGTGTGGGCTCATTGCGTTCGTCTCGTCAAGACCTTTCCAGGATGCCCAAGATCGTGGAAATCGTCAAATTCAAACCAAAGTTACGTCTAATTTTAGTTTCAGATTTTGTGGTTGCGTGGGCTTGTATACATTTTAATCGGACAGTAAAGGGTTAACGGGGTTTATGTACTAAACGAAAGTGTACGTAACTTGCTTGTGTACCAGAATATTTCACTTTTTACAACTTTTCTGAGTGTTTCTTGCTACCATGACTGGGGAGTGAGATATTCTTGATTCCCTCGATATAACATAAAAAATTTGTTATAAGGGTCACAGTCAGCGAAGATTCTACAGTTAACGTTACGTACCAACCGCGCTGTACAGTCACTCGGAAAAAACCAGAGCTTTGTCGGTTTGTGATGTGCGCTCTGATTTCTGAGCTCCACAAGTAGAAACTAGAACACGATGTGCCTCCACTCGAAGGCCAAAAGACCAACAAATTATGTACTATTGAGGTAGGCGGCATGCGGGTACGGAGAAATGTTATGTACTAACGAATTATGTACTAACCGACAACATTTGTATGGAAGTGACCACGTTTCGTCCGGGACTTGAGATTTCTTATGTACTAACAGGGTTTATGTGCTAACCGGACTCGTATTAACGGGGGGCGACCTGTACTGGGTGGGTACATGGGGGGGGGGGGGTACTAGTAATTTATCTGGATTCGCAGCACAGTGTGCTAATCAAATTGACATTGTTCAGATGATTGCTGGGACACACAATGCACTCACTCACAGGTGCACTCCTTTCCCTCTTTCATTTTCATTGCTGTCTCCGCTGTCGTGTTTGTTACTGTGAACGCACACACACACACACACACACACACAAACACACACACATGCACACACGCAGGAGGCACCAGTAAAGGGAATTCGGAAAGCAGAGGAGAAGGACTTGGAGCAGATTCACACGCTACTCGAAGATGTAAGCCCTCTGCTCTGTCACATCCATTCTTGCGTTGCTTCGAAACTTCCTAATGGGACGGACCGAGCCTCTGGTTCATCTCCCCACGAACACATTCTCATTGTCTGCATGCTCTTTTCAGAACTTGGCCTTAGCATATGTACATGCAGGCTTGCACACGCGTGCTCGCGCGCACGCACACACACACGCGCGCGCGCGTGCACGCAAACACACGCACACACACACCTCACCCCAGACCTCAGGCCTGCCCATCGCGGAAGCGGTCATAGCGAACAGTTAACTTATGTTAAACATAGCAACGTGTGCTGGCATTTCACCATTCAACACACACACACACACACACATACACACACACACACACGCACGCACGCACGCACGCACGCACGCACACACACACACACACACACACACACACACACACACACACACACACACACACACACACACTCGATGACCAGTGGCCGATATATTTTTTCAACGTGATAGAGAACGAAGTAGTGGTTGCGACTTCGGCGATGATTTGTAAGAAAGGGTTTGCTCCCCACACCGGAGCTCGCGCTATTCCGCCGACTTTACTTGACACTTGACTTACTCACGACTGCCATCCAGAGCACACGAGAAGTCCATCGAACCTTCGACTCGGCAAACCTGCAAGAAAGCACCACTCCCTGCTCAATACACAGTGTTTCGGGGAATTCACCCCTCATCAGTTGAGCTTGAGTAGGCTGAGGAAGATTGTGCCTGAAGAGCACCACTTATATAGTGCTCTCCAGGCACAAACATCACCAGGGATACAAACTTACAGAGACGCTAGATAGAGAACGTCGTGGTTATTTCTTTCTTGCTTCTCATTGTCGCTTGCCGTTGCTTGTCTCTGTTTGCAGTATCTCAAGCGGTTTTCCCTCGTTCCCGTTTTCGTTTCCCTGGTAAGGCTTGACGTGTGCGTGTATGGTATTATGCCAAGCATTGTGTGCATCAGCTGCTGCATCTGCTCCAGCTGTATCTCGTCCAGCTGCATCTCATCCAGCTGTATCTCGTCCAGCTGCATCTCATCCAGCTGTGTCTCGGCCAGCTGTATCTCGTCCAGCTGTATGTCGTCCAGCTTGTAGGATATAGACCTTATTCGGTAACGTGATTTTGGACTCGCCTCCAGGGATTTGTCGTAAGCTGGGGCACGCGTGCGTGAAACGAGTGGCAAGAAGGGCCCAGTTCGTACAAGGGAGTAATAAAATACCGGTATTTTACTACTCCCTTGTACGCACGCCGAGTCTACTGTGCACTGAGTGCAGGTCTCTTGCCACTCCCTGGTTCCCGGGACCCCGGTTCACGTGATTGTGACGTTTATGGAATAAGGTCTATTGGCCAGAACACTGTGCTGTCCAGCTTCCTCTCATCGCGTCGTATCTCCTTCATCTTCATCTGTTCCAGTTCATCTTCTTCAGCTACAGTCTGAGTCAACTTCGCTAATAACGACTGCGGATATAGCGACGAATCGCGAATAACGGCAGATTTTCCATGCCCAGAGCAAAGTCCTATCTAGCTGTAATACATATAATGAGACTTCGGGTATAAGGATAGCCAGTGCAGGCTGTCGTAATAAAACGACTCATCCGTGTTCCATTCCCGTACATGCATGGTGCGACGGCACAATGACAGCTGTCGCAAATCACACTGAGTATTACACGTGTTTTTTGGTGATTCCTGGTTAGCTGCTAGCTTTTCCCTACTCGAAGATGTTGCCGCCGCGAAATCTGGGGGTTTGTGTTCGTCCTGGCGAAAACCGTGTTTTGATCCGTTGAGGGAGACGAGAGATACAGTGCGAAGACGTACGATCTGTCCGAGAATCGGCGAAGAAGAAAGCTTCGCAGACGACCCGTAGTGGTTGGGAACAGAATGGAACATATACCAGTCGATGCCTGTCATGGTAGGGATGACTGCTACGAAGTTTTAGCCCCATGCTCCCCAGCGCTTTTTAGCGCCCGACGATAATTACCAAATTTCATCGATTTTCCATGTGGATCAAAGCATAGTCTCCTCAATCTTCTCCAGTCGAGCTGAGTCTGGACGCTACAATGTCGAGACGCGAAAAGAGAACATGCATGAACACACAGGAGCATCACTTGCAGCTGCATTCTGCCTTGACGAAGCTGAGAACAACACCAGCACCACGCATTTGGAAGACATTTCGAAGAAGAAGAAGAACTACATATCTGCGTTCAAAAAAGCCTCTGTACTGTGCAGTATGCATGCGTGCATGCGCGAAGCACGGGGTCCGCGGATCAACTTCGTTCAAAAATCATTGTGCCACACGGGTTGTATGATTTGTATGCGATCATGGTCTTTCTTCTTGACAAACAAAAGTGAAGTTTTTCGATCTTCAAATCGCCATAGCGTCCTTGTCATGACTCCAAATCAGCTGAAACTTTGCAAGAGGAATGAAAATGCCATGCTGAATCGATTGGTACTATTTTCGAAGGGTTTCCTTGAAAAATAAAATTTAGCATGCACTGGCTAATAAGGACACTTCGCGAATATGGACACTTTTCTGATGCCCCCCCCCCCCCCCCCCCCCGAGTATCGTTATACGCAAAGTTGACTGTGTATCTCGCTCAGTGCATACTACACTGTCTGGTGTCAGAATCGTAGCCTACAGTAGGTCATTCTTATCTTAACGTACTGTTGTCCATGCTCGGTGCTGCTCAATGAAGTCGGGTCGAGCGAGTGAATGCTGCGCCGAGGGCTTTCCAGCCCTAGGCCTGCGAACTCTGGCATGTGTGGACTGATGCAGGGCACAAACTTGACTGGCATGAATGGAGAGAGGGGGAGGGGGGGGGGGGGTCTTTGCTGTTAGAGCGGGTTATTGCGATAGTAGTAAAGCCATAATTGTGTTGAATTATTTTGTGATTGTTTCCCCCACTGGTTATAACCGCTGCTGTCAGTCACTTCACCAGTCCATAATGTGCGCTCAGTCGACCTGCTCCACTTCTCGGCCACCGCCTTTAACTAGAACCCTGTGTTCCAGCTGTGTGTGTGTGTGTGTGTGTGTGTGTGTGTATGTGTGTGTGTGTGTGCGTTATCAGATCTACTCTGATTTAGCCACCCACACTAGTAGCAAGTATTACCTTCACTGGGGGCAGGGGTAACTTCAGTTGGATCCCGGGACGGACACCCTGATGTCGTCAATCCTTTTTTCTGCACCTTGTCCTCACCCACTTACTGAGGTGTGGTGAGCCCATAAGTGGGATCAATTTCAAGTCCACCCAGAGTTTTGGGGATTTCAGGGGGTGTCGGCCGTTGGGCGGTTCAATAGCCAATTGAGTCATCTTTCCAAGATTCCTTTTGAGTTTCTCTCCCCTCTCCCGGGGAGACCCACGTGACCAGTTTTGGCAGTGAGCAACAAGTACAAGTGTGCACGTGTATCGGTGACCGTGTTTGTTTTCTTGTTTCCGTGCTCGCCGCGCGCTCGCTTAGGATGAAATCCGTCACTATCTGCTGCCTCGCGAAGGCGTGATCTCGACCTACGTCATTGAAGACCTGGAAACCAAGAAGATTACAGACTTCTTCAGGTGAGAAGTTGTGCCGGCCATCTCTCGCCTTGCACTACAGTATTTCCCCCATTACAAGTCACACTCGATTACAAGTCACACTCGATTACAAGTCACACTCAGTTATAAATCACACTCAGTTACAAGTCACACTCAGTTACAAGTCTCACTTAGTTATAAGTCACACTCGATTACAAGTCACACTCGATTACAAGTCATACTTGATTATAAGTCACACTCGATTACAAGTCGCACTCGATTATAAATCGCACCTCCACTTTTAGGTTTGAGCCATACTATTGTTTCAATATACCGTAAAGTCTTGTATAAAAGCCGCGGCTTCTATGACTTTCTTGGTGACATTTTGCAGGCTTCTATATGAGACAGGCTTCTATACAAGACAGGTATTTCTATGTATGTCAACACTAAAACCAGGCTTATGTGTGATTTGATGGGCCCAAAATTGCGGCTTCTATTCGAGGGCGGCTTTTATACAAGACTTTACGGTATTCACATAAGTAGGATGTCGGTCTCGATTGTAAGTCGCACTCCCACTTTGAGGTGTGAACCACATTGTTTCAATACATGCATATAAGTAGGATGTCACTCTCGATTGTAAGTCGCATCCCCTTCTTTGCTCTTGAAGCTTAGTGCAAAAAGGTGCGACTTGCAATCGGAGGAATGTGGCATGCTTCAACACACGGTTAGCTCTTCACACTTTACAGTCTGTTCTGAGAATCCTAATGGTACGTGTACGTGTGCATCGCTTTCTCACCGTTCTGTATTGCTTTGCAAGTCCACTACGACCGCACGCGCGCTGGGATACCAGCCAGCCGTGCAGCATTCAAAGGTGGTGAACTGTACACGGCCATACTCACTAATATACTAGAGCTGGTTGTACCTGCCCAACACGGGAACAAGTCCTGCCCTCTCGTCCCCGTCCCCAGTCCCACGGCCATACTCACTAATATACTAGAGCTGATTGTACCTGCCCAACACGGGGACAAGTCCTGCCCTCTCGTCCCAGTCCCATGGCCATACTCACTAATATACTAGAGCTGGTTGTACGTGCCCAACACGGGAACAAGTCCTGCCCTCTCGTCCCCGTCCCCAGTCCCACGGCCATACTCACTAATATACTAGAGCTGATTGTACCTGCCCAACACGGGGACAAGTCCTGCCCTCTCGTCCTCGTCCCCAGTCCCACGGCCATACTCACTAATATACTAGAGCTGGTTGTACGTGCCCAACACGGGAACAAGTCCTGCCCTCTCGTCCCCGTCCCCAGTCCCACGGCCATACTCACTAATATACTAGAGCTGGTTGTACCTGCCCAACACGGGGACAAGGCCTCTCGTCCTCGTCCCCAGTCCCACGGCCATACTCACTAATATACTAGAGCTGGTTGTGCCTGCCCAACACGGGGACAACCTGCCCCGCGAAAAGGAAGGTTGCAGCCATCTTCGATGCATGCCTCACATTGACATAACAGATATTTTAAAAAAGTTTTTAAAAAAATACCATGCTGCTCAATGAGATGGGATCGCGTGAGTCACATTTGCACCCTGTGTCAGTTCACATCCCGGTGTTGACAGGTCTAGGGCCTGTACAGCGCTGCCCTGCGTGACATTCACTCGATTGATCGGATTTCATTCAGCAGTACCATGTACCGGTGTTCGCACATCTGGGCACCATCAGCAATTATTGTAGAAAGCTCATGGAAACGTGAAAGTTGGAACCCTGAATTGGGCGCTGCACCATTTTGCATCTGCAAAGCACCGGCACTACTGCAAATGTCTCTTGGCATCACCCATGTCGTCACGAAAAGCTGTACAGATCACATGAGTATGAGTTGTCTGAGGATGGCCTTAGCTTTGCTACGTGCATGAAACGCAGCGTTACGACAATGACCTAGCCGGTTGTCTCTGTTCTCTTCTGCCTTTGTGGTAAGGGACCGGTCACATTGAGGGAACAATCCTCAGATTATAAACCGGGAATACTTTTTTTCTGCTTTTCATCACGGCCACACTGCATACGCACAATGAAAATAATCTCACTCACGCGAGCAATTTTTTTGCCACCGTTCGCTTCTGGCAGTCTGTCAGCCACGCTCCTGGGCCAGAGCTGCATCAGCACAGCCTCTATAGTATCGCTCCACTTCATTACGAAATAAAAACCAAGGAAACTCAAAGAAATCCAGTGGAAGCCGCGGATGATTATAATCTTTGGCGGAAAAGCGAGGCCTCGAGCTGATTTTCATTGAGTGGATTAAATCTCTCAAATCTCCCGCACAGCGGCAAATGTCCATGGTAACCACGGATTTTTTCAAATTTTCCCTCAGTATGACCGGCCCCTAATGCTCCATCCTTGTGGTGCTGAGCACTCGAGGCAAACTGGGAATTCTCGCTATTGTGAGTACAGTCAACTTCGCTAATAACGACTGCGGATATAACGACAATTCACGAATAACCACAGAATTTCCATGCCCAGAGCAAAGTCCCATCTAACTGTAACACATCTAATGAGACTTCGGGTATAACGACACCTCGCGAATACGGAGGATTAGCAAGACGAAATTCGCGTTCGCGTTCGCTCTCCAAGGAAAGTCGAACTCAGTGACGGAATTCGCGTTATGAGAAGGATTAGCAAACAGAATTCGCACATGCATGACTTTGACACGACGTACATTGTGTACAGACAGTACAGCGTGGTAAATTTGTGATTGCCCTGACACGAATCCGCGATTCGTGTTCCGACTACTTTTCCGAACGAAAAATGCGAAAGTTCGCAATCCAGTTCGCGAACTGAAAAATGTTTGCGAGCGCGAACGCGAATTTCGTCTTGCTAATCCTCCGTAATAAGAACACTTTTTCTGATGCCCCGCCGAGTGTCGTTAGACGCAAAGTTGACTGTATGACATGGTTGTATGCGGTCTGGTGTGTGTGCTTGATGTGTGCAGCTTCTACCATCTCCCCAGCAGTATTGTGAGATCTAACAGTCAAGGACATAAGCGCCTCTATGCAGCGTACAGTTACTATAATGTGTGCACAACACACTCACTGCAGGATGTACTGCAGAGTGCACTCATCATTGCTAAGGAGGTGAGTACTACACTATGTGTGTGGGTGTGGGGGGGGGGGGGGGGGAGGGTGTCTTTGTGTGTGGGTGTGGGTACATGGTGTGGGTGGGTGGGTGGGTGGGGGGTATCTATGGGTGTCTGTGGGTGCATGCCTAGGCGCCTAAGGTGTGTGTCTGTGGGTGGGTGACCGGTGTGTGTGTTTGCGGGGTGGGGGAAGGGGGGGGGGGGGGCTGTGCATGTGTGTATACCATGGGCAGGGTGGTGCTATCATTGCCTCTGGCGGTATCTAAGGTGGGTGGGTGTGCATGCACATACCTAAGCCAGTACGTCGTATGTGTGCTGAGTACTAGTACACACACACTCTTTCCCGTTGCTTTTGAAGACGCTGTAGTCTCTCAATGGGCCTTCGCTCCACCTTCGGCGGAACGTCTCTTACTCGTTTTCTTGTCCCTTCCCCAAGCTACAGCTGCTCTTGTGTGTTGCCTGCCTGCCACTCCCGGTATGGTTTCCATTCCGTTGCGTATCGTGGTGCCGACGGGTGGAATCCGCTGCCTCCATCTTGTCGCCAGGCCGGGGCGCCTGCTGTGTTTCGCGCTCTCACAAAGCCACATTCAGGGTTCCCAGTAAAAGGGCATCAATGCCTGTTGGGAAATCCCTAACAGAATAATGCTATTCCTAATTCCATTATCGTTGTCTGATTATTGGTTCAGCCATGAAACTCTGAGTCACAACGGAATTTGCCCCCAAGGTTTTCATTGTGTGCCTTTGTGTACGCCGTTCTGCCTGAATCAGGTATTGAGCACTTACGCAGAACCTAAGCCTACTGCCTCTGTGCTAACACAATAATGCATCAGATACCGTGAAGTCTTGTATAAAAGCCGCACTTGAATAGAACTTATTAGAAGCCGCCCTCGAATAGAAGCCGCAATTTTGGGCCCATCAAATCACACATAAGCCTGGTTTTAGTGTTGACATACATAGAAATACCTGTCTTGTATAGAAGCCTGTCTCATATAGAAGCCTGCAAAATTTCACCAAGAAAGTCATAGAAGCCGCGGCTTTTATACACGATTTTTACAGTAACTTAAAAAATACTGTGTATCTGGTGCAGGATGGCATTGACGTATTCAACGCTCTGGACATCATGGAGAACTCCACCGTACTGCGCTACCTGAAGTTTGGCGCCGGCGACGGCTACCTGCGGTTCTACCTGTACAACTGGCGCTGTTCAGACATGCCCAGCAACCAGGTGAGTTGTGAGGTGACAATTTACTACGGTGTAACAACTGCCCAGATCCGGGCAGCTTGGGATCGAACACTGCCCGTAATTAGGAATTGCCTGTAACTCACGCCATCCATACTCACTGCAGGCAGGTACACTATTTGTTATGCCAATCAATAGTTTTTTCGGGGCCTTTCTCGTTGAAAGGCCATTTTTGTGACTCTACGGTAACAACTGCCCAGATCCGGGCAGCTTGGCATCGAACACTGCCCGTATTAACTAGGAATTGCATGTAACTCAGATTACCGGTATCTATACTCACTGCATGCAGGTTAACAATTTTTTTTGCCAATCAATATGACTGTTTTGGGGCCGTTTTTCGTTGAAAAGCCATTTTAGTGACTCTGGATGGGTCAGAAAGGTGCCCGATGGACGGACATGCCCTGATTAGGGACGTCCGGATCTGGGTAGTTTTACTGTGCATCCTCAACCCGTCACCACCATGCTTTCACAGCATGCTGGTGTGTGTGTGTGTGTGTGTGTGTGTGTGTGTGTGTGTGTGTGTGTGTGTGTGTGTGTGTGTGTGTTGTGCTCTGTGCATTGGTTTGGCTGAGAGCGCATGCTGGTGACAGGTTGAGGATGTAGTAAATTGGAGGATGGCCGAAAGCGCGGTCGCAATACCGTAAAACATGTAAATATTAGGTGTATTGAAATTCCGATGCCGGGGACCTGGCAGGTTTTAGGTGTACTGTAGAATTAGGTGACCAGCAAAAGTGCCGCGTTGAGAATGTAGTAAATTGGAGGATGGCCGAAAGCTCGGTCGCAATATTTATTTGTAAGGCTACACGGCAGCTGACGTGTGTGCTCTCAAACCTCTTTTATCCGCAGTTGTCCTGCCTGAGAGCTGCTTGAACATGCTGAGCCACTGACAATGATCTGGTCTGCTGTAATCCATGGCCGCGATTTCTGGGAACTGCACACACTGGTTTTCTAGTGCTCTTGATGCTAGATTTCATCCGACTATGTCTCTGTCCGTCTGTCTCGCTCGCTCTCTCTCTCTCACTCTCTCACTCTCTCTCTCTCTCTCACACTCTCTCTCCCTCTCTCTCTCTCTCTCTCTCTCTCTCTCTCTCTCTCTCTCTCTCTCTCTCTCTCTCTCTCTCTCTCTCTCACACACACTCTCTCTCTCGTACAGGTCGGTCTTGTACTCCAGTGAAGTGGTGGTGGTGTGCGTACCGACGGCATACGACTTTCCCCCCGTGCCCTCCCTGCTTATCTCCATGCCTGCTCTGGCTGGGCCAGCCCGGCATCCGGACCCATGCGTCCTCTACCGTACTCCCGCATGTCACCATGTTCACCAATGGTAGTTGGCTGTAGTGACAACAGCGGTGGCAGTACACGTTTTGTACAGTGTGTTCCTATATATGTACATAGTATTTTGGTTGTGCCGCTAGATAATTTCGCCGTTTTCGCTATGATTTTCTCCCGCAGCTAGTTTTAACATTTCCCACGCTTCTTCCCCCGCTCTACGTCTTACGCTGTGCGTTTATTACATGCACGCATAGACACAGGCGCGAGCGTGCGTGTGCGTGCGTGCACACGTGAGCTCATCTCATGCATTCATTCTATCTGTGCTCTCAATTCATTCATTCTCTCTCTCTCTCTCTATCTATCTCTGTCGATGCGTGCATTGTTACGAGATTCAGCTCATATTGTACCAGCCGATCCCCGAAACAAGTGCACATGTACATGGGACTTGCAGTCCGAATCAATCTAACTCCTATTCTCTGATCCTTTGGTGGTGTTTATCGCGATAGGTGTGTGTGTGTGTGTGTATGTGTGTGTGTGTGTGTGTGTGTGTGCGGGTGTGTGTGCGGGTGTGCATGTGTGTGCGTGCGTGGGGGGGGGGGCAGGGGTACTGGTGGACAACTCAACTACGCTCTGCGCTTTGCCCAGTGCTTTGCAAACTTGCTGGTTGGAAAAAACAGCAGTGTGCGTGAGGGTGTGCATTCGCGCGCGTGCACACATGTGTGTGTGTGTGCACATGCACACGTGTTTGTGTGTATGTGTGTGTGTGTGTGTGTGTGTGTGTGGCATTCTCCTGCGTGGTTACCAACAGCCAGTGCATGCCGGAGTATGTGGTATGATGTGTGTGCGTGAAAAAAATGAAAAAAGACCAAAACGTAGGGATTCACTGGCCAGAAAAAGCCACTTCATAGCTGTGTGGTGCACAGACCAGGCTGAATAGTGGCGGTCAATTCGTCAGCCTTGCAAGCTGTTGAATGGTGCAATCCCAGCACAAGCTGCTATGGCTTCTGCTGTAGCATCGCTATCATCGCCTCCAGCGATGGGCGTCAAATGGTCCAAATGGTGTGTGTGTGTAGACCCACGTGACCAATTTTGGCAGTGAGCAAGTACATGTACTTAAGTACAAGTCAAGTGTGCGTGTGTGTGTGTGTGCGTGCGTGTGTGCGTGTGTGTGTGTAGGGATTCACTGGCCAGAAAAAGTCACTTCGAACAGCTGTGTGGTGGATACCAGGCTAAAAATAGTGGCGGTCAATTCATCAGCCTTGCAAGCTGTTGAATGGTGTTATCCCAGCACAAGTTAGTTGCTATGTTAATATGTCTAACATAGCTGTTCGCTATCATCGCTTCCGCGATGGGCATGTCTGAGGTCTGAGGTGTGTGTTATGCAACGATTTTGAAGAAATCTCCCACCGGGATCAGGATGGCGCTGCATTTCAGAGCTGGCTCCCTTCAATCCCATGTATAGCCTAGTATATTGATTGATTTTTATTTAAGGATTGTCCAAAGGCGGCAGAGGCCTATCATATAGGTGGGTGTTTCTTTTTAGTATAGGTGGGTCAAGAGTCTCCCCCCCCCCCCCCTCCTATAGTATAGGTGGGTCAAGAGTCTCCCCCCACCCCCCTCATATAGTATAGGTGGGTCAAGAGTCTCCCCCCCCCCCCCTCCTAGGCTATAGTATAGGTGGGTCAAGAGTCTCCCCCCCTATAATATAGGTATAATAATAGGTGGTCACAAGAGGGTATAATAATTATTATTATGACTTGTACTCTTGGTGGTCACATGGACTCAGTCACTCTTGTATGAAAGGGACCAATGACCCAGGGGGGGGGGTTCAACTGAGATAGAAATGTACACCAGGGAGCAGTAACTTACACCGGGGAGTCGCCAAGTATTCGACGACTCCCTGGTGCACACGGAGACACGCATGCACCGCGCGCAGCCAACGAACACAGAACAGCGAATGCGCTGCGAGATAGTACCCTGGCGAAAACCGTCTCCACCGCCAGAACGCAAAACTGGTTGCTCAGTGAAGATACAGCAAAATAAATAAATAAGCCTACGCCGGAAATACACACACACACACACACACACACACACACACACACACACACACACACACACACACACACACACACACAAAACTCGTATTGGCGGATAAGGATGTATGCGAAACTCAAGAGACTATCCCTGACGCCGGGGAGAGAACGTCTGAAGTGAAAAAGTGTTTGTTTCATCTCGTACGGAGCATGAAGCACAAGCATGGGATTCTTCCATAAAACAGCACTATCGAAGTCCTGCAGCACCATAGTTCCACCCCTCGAAAGTGACTCTCAGAAGCAAGCGACACTTCTCTGCCCCACTGCTTGCGCGACCGGAAAGGCAAAGACAAGGCCGTCGAGAGAGCAGCCCAGTACTGCAGCCACACAGAGCACTGGTCAGACTAGTATGGGCATAGTGACACACGGTCATTGGTGAATCAAATTGTGGACAAAAGAAAGCATTGCTGTAATGCCTGCACTACAGCCAGCCAGCACACACACGCACACACACGCGCGCACGCACGCACACACACACACACACATCACTCCAGCAGATCCGGCTGCGTCAGTCCCGAGCGTTGCGACAGAATGCCGCTCAGCGCAAGGTTCTCGCCACCGGCAAAGCCACGCCGCTCGTTGTCACGGCGCACCGCCTTTGCCATGGCGATCAGGCATGTGTCACGCGGCCGCTGCCCTCGCCGTCGCTCCAGCTCCATCACCTTGGCAACGGTTATCACGGCGGGAACGTATCCCCACGACTCCAGGAGAGCGACTTGGGCGTGCACTGCTCCGGAGAGACTGGGCGCCGTCTCCATGGTGATCATGGCGGACGGGTCCCTCTCTGTGCTCTGGGTGCTCTCGCTTTTAATCGTATCACTGGGTATCGAACTTGAATCTGTGTACTCGGCCATGCTCGAGTCGTGCAGAGAAGCCGACCCAATGGCCAGCGTGTCACAGCTTTGCGACTTCGTGAACGGTCTTGCAGCCGGAGCTGCTGCTGTTTTCATTTCAGGAGCATTACCAGAAGGATACGACTGATCCAGGAAGCCATTGCTGTGATCGTCATCATGCACAGCTGTGTTACGATCGCGCAATCCATCGCTCGCCGGGGCGGCGCGGAGGACATGCTGATCAGGCACAAGCACCAGAGCGGCGAGCGCGAAATCGCCCAGGTTGCGCCGCACCAGCGGCTGCGTCTCCAGGTGAGCGAACACGTACGCCCGCGCCACCGTGTAGTCCTTGACGCTGCCCAGGTGATCGAGCTGCGACTGAAATGACCTCGCCGGCCGGTAGCATCGTAGAGTGGACTTGCGGAGCACGGCGCCCAGCGCCGCGATCAGCCCCGCCGGTCGAATACCCAGCGTGCACACTCCCGCGATGTCTTCCTGCGGCTCATCACCACTGCCATCTTCGGGCTCGACCTCTGAATCGCTGTCTAGATCCCGGACGATGTACATCCACTCGGCGAACTCGACTCCGAAGCGCCAGCTGGACACGCTGCACGCGTACAGCGGTATCCACAGGTTCTTGTCGTCGAGGTCGAGCGCCTGCAAGACGAGGTGAATCCACGCGGCGTTCAGATGGCGCTTGCCGAGCACGAACCACTCCAGCAGCAGCTTCTCCTGAGAGCTGAGCTGGCGAGAGCGCTTGCGCACGCCCTGCACCTGAGCCGCCCACGCCAACTGAAGCAGGTCCAACGCCGTCACATCCGGCCACGACGACTGCGTGCCTGGAGGAGCGTCCATGACATTGCCATGGTGATGGTCGAGTGCGGTCGTCGCTAATGACGACGCACTGGTGATGGAGTTGCGGACGGAGTCGCGGGCGCTGAAGCGCACGCTCCCGTGCGGCATGTACACGCCGCGTACCAGGGCGCCGACCACTTCGCGAGCACGCACTGCCGCGAATCCAAGCAGGTAGACAATGTTGGCCACCAGGCCGGGGTGGAATGTCTCCGCGTACACTGTCGCTGGGCTCAGCGCGCGCACACGCTGCTGCAGGAGGGACACGAGCGCGGCAAGAAACTCCCCGTGGACTATGCGCTGACGACTCAGGGCACGACAGGCGGAAGAGAACACCACGTCGTGCTCAATTGGCCATTGCGCGCCGTCGGCATGACGAAACAGACACGCCAGCCGATCCAGGAGTGCGGTGACCAGGCGGTATTTGCCGGCCGCGGATTCGGGCAGGCGATCGCCCGGCGTCAACAGTGACAAAAACCTCAGCAGTGCGCGCGTGTCACGGCTCGTCTCTATGGCAACGCACAGCTGCACGTGCACACCGGCCAGGGACACCTGGATGGGTCCGCTGAACGAGGACAGAACGGCCAGCGAGTCCACAATGGCAGCTAGCTCCGAAGAGTTCCCAGCGGCGGTCGGTGCCCATGACAACGACGACGATGATGATGACGATGGAGATAGCGGTGGTGAGCGGCGTATGACGGCGAGCAGATGGCTTACGTACCTGCGTACGACCACGTCCAGTTCCCCGCGAGCACTGCCGGCACCTTGGGCTTCGTCTGGCTGAGCGGCGGTGTGTTGTATCGTGACCAGCAGCTTAGCGAGTACTATGGCGACCAGTGAGTCGTGTTGATTCAAATCACGGCACACGGAGCGCAGCAGGTGTTCCGCCGCGTTAATCCAATGCACGCCGATGCCATCACTACCAGCAGCAGCAGCCACCTCGGCTGCCTCTCCCAGTAGCAGTGTTGTGGATATGACAACACGATGGCGTACGTTGGCGATGAGTAGAGCGTCCTGGATGCTCCGTCGGACGTGACGCGGCTTGCCGTTGCGCCTCAACACGACCTTGTTGGTTTCTTGTCGCCGCCATTGCTCTGTAGTTGACTTGCATAGTGCAGCGATGTGATCAGTCTGTGTGCTGGATGTCTGCCAGTGGTGTGTGTTGGGAGTTTGCTGCCAGTGGTGTGTGTTGGGAGTTCCGGGCCAGTGTTGTGTGCTGTGTGTTAGCTGGTGTTGTGCGCTGGGTGCCTGCCAGTGTGGGCCGTGCTGTGGGTACCAGTGCGACCGTCCTGGTGGCGGTCCACGCGTGTAGGGTGCATTGATGTTGTTGCTGCTGCTGCTGCTGCTGTTACTGCTTCTGTTACTGCTGCTGCTATTGCTGCTTCTGCTGCGAAGCTGTTGAGGCGTGCTAGCCCGTGACGGTGTAGCTACGTGGTAGCACCTCGTTCTCAAGAGACAGCTCATCAACAAGCCACTGTGCCTTTGCACCAAATGATCGTTCTGTTTTAATGCGCGTGCCGGCGCAGCATGTCGAAGCATTTAGTAATGTATCACTCTGGCTTAGCGAAACTGCGTCCTCGCCAGTAAGATGCAAGCACCCTATCCTATTCCCTGGCTGGCGCTAGAGAAGAATTTTCTTACCATCCAAGCAACATATTATAAACCGATCACCGAGCTGTTGGGCTATTTTCGTCGCTTGGGCTAAGCCAAGACAGGGCGAGCTGTTCACGAACACACGTCACGGTGCAAACCAAACGGCGCAACATACTAGTATTAGTAGTAATCACCTCGACCTCGCCATCTGCCATTCTATGACTATACGTAAAGTCCACGATATCAACATGACAATACTGTACTCAATACTGCAATACTATAGCGACTATTTTGCTATTTTTGCCCCACATTACGATTCAGCAGTGCAGCAACAATTTTTTACATCGAAGATAGCTGAAGATTCGAAATCTATCACGTGATCGCGAGTAAAAGTTTTTTTGGCAGTTTTTGCAAACTGTACTTCACCTTTTGCATTCAAACAGATGACAAAAAAAGCTCTTGTCTTGAAAATGAAAGCATGAAAAATGGTCCTTTTGTTTGACTTGATGCGTTGTGAGAACGTTTGTCCAGCCATCGATCGAGACCACCATTGGCTAACTGCTACAACGGAGTCCAAAGAGCAGGCTGTTTCTGTTTGTTGAGGCGTAGTGTTGCTGCTGGCGTGTTCCCTTGTCGTTTGGCCTGGCTCGTGTAACGTCGTGTTCGACCATTAGCACTGTGACCGTAATAGCTTGAGGATAAGATGGGCAAGGAGAAAGCAGGTTTCATGACGCCCAAGGCCATTGGGAATCGCATCAAGGCCAAAGGGCTGCAGAAGCTGCGCTGGTACTGCCAGATGTGTCAGAAGCAGTGCAGAGACGAGAACGGGTTCAAATGCCACTGCATGAGCGAGTCGCATCAGCGGCAGCTGCTTCTCTTCGCCGACAATGTGGACGAATACCTTGATGGGTTCAGCAAAGAGTTCATGGTAAGACTCAGTGGATATGACAATCACATGATCAGACAAACAAAACTTTGGATACGGTCCGAGTAATCAGGGTGTTACGTAACTTGTGTCAGGCAAAAGAAAGGATTTGGGGAGGCAGGCACATGAATCAGCGAATGGTCTACTACTGTAGTATTATTCCCGTAGCTATGCAGAAGACGTTACTTCAGTAACGTCTGGCGCTAGCCAGGGTCCACACAGCTTTAATTTGGTGTTTGTGTGTTTGTTTGTTTGTGTCACGCCTGGCGCTATCCCGTATCTGACGGCAAAAAAATCATAGGGATGTTATAAAATTTTCAATTCTCCTATTTTTTCAGGCATATCCTGGGATTCGAACCCGCACTATCGCCCTACATGCATTCCCCCATACACTTCGCATTCATACCCATTCTTCCAAGTTGCTTCACGTTATGATCTTGCGTTTAAAAGCCCTATTTGAATATTGCGGGCAGCTGTATGTGGCCAGCTGTGTTTGATGGTACGGTACGGGAGACGGTGTCGTATTACCCTCGATCGTACCTGTCCCGTACCTATCCCTACCGTATCGTACCATCAAAGACGGCTGGCCACAATGCATATTCAAATAGGGCTTTCAAATGCAAGATCATCATGTGAAGCAACTTGGAAGAATTAGTATGTATGCGAAGTGTATCGGGGGATCCATGCAGGGCGCGATAGTGCGGGTTCGAATCCCAGGTTATGTCTTAAAAAAAAAGGAATTTTTTAAAGAATTTATAACATCCCTATGCTTTTTTTTGTCTAGGTCATCAAGGCAAAAATGCATAGCGTAGGGCCCTGAGCTTCCAAGCTCTCTCGTTTATTTTATGCAGTCGTGGTTTTACTTACGTGTTCTTCTTCAGTGCTGCAGTACCTGTTGCTGGCCATAGTGTCAGCAGTGTGATTAGGTATTCTCTCTCTCTCTCTTTCACACAACACACACACACACACACACACACACTCTCTCTCTCTCTCTCACACACACACACACACACACACACACACACTTGTACTTGTACTTGTTGCTCACTGCCAAAACTGGTCACGTGGGTCTCCCCGGGAGAGGGGAGAGAGACTCAAAAGGAATCTTGGAAAGATGACTCAACTGGCTATTGAACCGCCCAACGGCCGACACCCCCTGAAATCCCCAAAACTCTGGGTGGACTTGAAAATGATCCCACTTATGGGCTCACCACACCTCAGTAAGTGGGTGAGGACAAGGTGCAGAAAAAGGATTGACGGTATCAGGGTATCCGTCCTGGGATTCAACTGCAGTTACCCCTGCCCCCAGTGAAGGTAATACTTGCTACTAGTGTGGGTGGCTAAATCAGAGTGGATCTGATCTAAGCGTCACTAGTATCATTGATTACACAAGAGTTTATCTAGCCAGAAGCAGTCCATGGTTAACAGGTATGTATACTTCAAATAGAAAGTAACCTGAAACCAACAAAGGTGGCAGATACAACAATACACCTTCAAGCAGCCGAGCCTGTTGGCAGCAGACCCAACACAATCAGGCATAAGTGTACCCACCAACCGGACTAGCTGGCACACACACACACACACACACACACTCTCTCTCTCTCTCTCTCTCTCTCTCCCCCCCCCCCCCCCTCTCTCTCCCCTCTCTCCCTCCCTCCCTTACACACACACACACACGCACACACACACACACACACACCTGTCCTGTCCTGTTGAGCCACTGCCATGAAGGTTACGTGGGCCCCGGAGGGGCAGCTGAGAGAGAGGAGGAGCACACAGCCCTGTGACGATCCAGGTGATGCGGTAAGCGAAATCGGCGGGAGCAGGCGCAAACACACGTGAAACCCTGACGGTCCTGAACGGTCGGACGACTACAAGTCCGCGAGCAGCGATGACGGGCGCGGCCACGTGTAGACGCAAAGCAGCGGTCACAAGCCTGGCAGTGAGCGACGCAGCACAGCGGAGAAGCAGGCAGCGGCAGGGGCGCACCGACTGCTGACTGGGGGTAAGTACACTTGTGCCTTGCCAGACCTCCACGGGACTTCAGCCAACGGCCACACTCTCCACACTGGCATGCACCTGTCTGCTCCGCAACCGGCTTCGCACACTCAGCCTTACACTTGTGGCGTGCGCGATCACTGGGGCGTGTAAACTGTCGGTCGCAGGTGTAGCAGGTGACGGGAGGGGTATGCTGGGCATCTACCGGTGCTGAGTACGCCGAGCGCCAGGTGGAACGCGACTCGCATTCAGCTCGCCATTCCCCCTCGAGGCCGCGAGAACGAAGGTCAGACATGATACAATCCTTCCAGCGCCGACGAGGGCCATGAGCTGGGCGACGCGACGGAAGCGTGCCAAAGAGAACTTGCTTCGGCAGCCGGTGGTCCTCCATACTGTAAATGCCACTTCCGAACCAGTGAGTCTCTTGCAGTCCGGCTGCCGTGATGTTGAGCCGTCGGAGTTCATCTGCGACACGGTTGATCTTTTTGTTCTCGACGACATTCCCAGTTACGCTTGCCGTCTCCAAACCGCCATCACGCTCGACCAGGGATCTCACACACACACGCACACATACACACACACACACACACACTTACTCTCTCTCTCTCTCTCTCTCTCTCTCTCTCTCTCTCTTTCTTTCTTTCTTTCTCTCCCCCCACAGGAAACGTTCATGGAGATGTTGAAACGCAGCTACGGTACTCGACGTGTTCACTGCAACATTGTGTACAATGAGTTCATAGCGGTACGTTACCTTGTCCTCTGCGTTGTCCTCTCCAGAGTTATTGCTAGCATGCTGCTGCTGTATGCTGTTCACTGCACTTTATGTGGTGCTCAACAGGTGTTTATACACGGGTGGAGCATGTCACTGTACTCTATGTGACTGCAGGTCAACTGTTTGTATACTTCGAAGTACATTTTAGTGTACACCTGTACCTTTGGCTTTGAAGTATTTTCAGTTGAGGAGCCCCTTTCCTGCAGTGTTGAGCAGTGAATTCTGACGTTCTGTGCCTAGTTCTCACATATCCATCGCGCACGGCTCTAGGCGCAGTTCTCGAGCGAGCGGCTCACTTTCATTAGTTTGAGTTCTGCTTGACGTGCGACGAAGGGGAGTCGCGTGGCGAACGGGCGTCTGGGTTGCGGTCTACGGCTTTGCGTTTATGCGCGGAGATGTGGATCTCTGCGTTGTGGCTCGTACACACACACACACACGCCGGCGCGCATGGGCACGCACAAAGAAAGGAAATATGTACGGATCACTTAAATTTGTGAGCAAGGGTGTCAGAAAACTTCGAAAATTGGCACCGTAAATTCCCGGTACACATTCCACGCCATTTCTTGGCATGAGCGTTGAGCAGAACATCTTGGTGATACTATGCCTAAGAAGCCTAAGAACGCGAGTACTCCAATCTACGCGTCGCCGTTTCTTAGTTCAGCAGAATCACACGAATGACCAGCTTTCTAGTGTCAGGTCTAACTGCTTTGTTTTCACTCCATGGTGGCTAGAGAGTGGCCTCACATCTATCACATAACCATAATAATCAGTAGCTGTTTGTTTTTGTCCGCATTATTATTTATTTTACGAGTTGGACTCTTTTTAACTTGGATGGTGAGCCAATAAGCCTTTGCGCGTTGTACAGATGTACGAAGTTCAGTGCTAGGGCGTAGGTGTGTACAGAACCGATTGGGTGTTCATTGTGTGCTATGCATGCGCATTTGACCAATTTTAGCCTCATAACTAAGAGCAAACAATCCCTATTCCAGCTTCTTCAATTTGGTTAGAACTAATGACTAGCTAGATCTTTGTCAGAAAAGGTTTTCGTTTGAAATGCCTTCAGGGCCCATTTCTTAGTGGAAATAGCAGAAAACACAATAGGGTCCTGCACATTCAACACCCATTAGGTTCTACGGGATTCTACGGGATTTCGTGCATCTGTACAACGCGCAAAAGGCTTATTAAATTATGGTGAAAAAGGAGGACAAATGTTACGAGTTATGACTAACTGTCCACCAACGTAACCAGATGTGTCAGGTCGCCGAATGTCTCAGTACTCCTTTGTCAGTTTTGTGCCATTTTGTCACACTCGCTGACTGTATAAGATCTGGTTACGTTGGTGGACAGTTAGTCATAACTCGTATCATTTTGTTCTCCTTTTTCACCATAATTTACGAGTTGGGTTTGTGAATAATAGTAAAAATAAATAAAATAAATAAATATGGGGCAGGCAATCAGACATGTTGGTTCCAACTCCACTAAACTCCTGCATCTATGGGTCACATGATGTCGGTGGCCATGTTGGTTCCACTGTCCACATGACATGATCACTTTCCCACACAGATTTCGTCACCTGATAACAATGCAAAAACCACTCTAAAGCTGGGTTTCATCACCTGATAACAATGCAAAACCACTCTAAAGCTGGGTTTCATCACCTGATAACAATGCAAAACCACTCTAAAGCTGGGTTTCATCACCTGATAACAATGCAAAACCACTCTAAAGCTGGGTTTCATCACCTGATAACAATGCAAAACCACTCTAAAGCTGGGTTTCATCACCTGATAACAATGCAAAACCACTCTAAAGCTGGGTTTCATCACCTGATAACAATGCAAAACCACTCTAAAGCTGTGTTTCTATGTTGCGTGCATTCCTGTGTGTTCAGGACCGTGAGCATCTGCATATGAATGCCACCAGATGGCAGACACTGACAGAGTTTATCATGTATCTGGGGAAAGAAGGTTCGGTTGTTGTTGACCCGACGGAAAAAGGTATCTTCATCACATACATCGACCGTGATCCGGAGACGCTGCGTCGACAGGTCAGTCCACCAGTCACTGTGTGTGTGCGCGTTAGTGTGTGTGTGTGTGTCAGTGTGTGTGTGTGTGTGTGTGTGTGCGTGCGTGCGTGCGTATTCGGAGCACTTGCAGATTCACGTGCTCCTTTTGCGACGGGCGTATACATGGTGTGTGTGTGTGTGTTGGGGGGTATGTGGGTATGTGTGTGCTCGACGCCTCGTGTGTGTGTGTGGGGGGGGGGGGGGGGTGCACACGTGCGCGTGTTCATGTAATTATGTAGTTGCTATGGCTTTCAGTGGTTGTGAGACTTATCCACTCACCCCCACCGTTAGGCACTGCATCTGCCGCTAGGGTTTATCGGGTGTTAGCGGCCGTCGTGAGTTCCCTTTGGGAACGGACACGATAATTTACTTTTTTTTTAATTTTTATTTATGGCTTCTCGAAATTCCACAGTACTAGTATCATCGCTAATTTAACATCACCTTCGTTGGTTGATATCAGGTGTATGTGACTGTGTGTGCACACACCTGCCTCTTTACCCGTACGGTTTCTGGTCATCAACTATGACTCACGCGCATATCCTTTACATCACGAATTACTTCGAAGAAAGATGAACTACCGTAAAGTCTTGTATAAATGCCGCACTTGAATAGAAGCCGCAATTTTGGGCCCATCAAATCACGCATAAGCCTGGTTTTAGTGTTGACATACATAGAAATACCTGTCTTGTATAGAAGCCTGTCTCATATAGAAGCCTGCAAAATTTCACCAAGAAAGTCATAGAAGCCGCGGCTTTTATGCAAGACTTTACGGTATTCCATTCCCACGGGTACTAATTTAGACTGACTGATGTTCACGACACATGCCGCCCATCTGGCTGCGAGTTTGTACGTGACGTGATGTTTGGTGTCGTGGATGGCAAGAGAAAGCGTGGTCGTCCGAAGATTTCCTTTGCTGACAATATCGTTTCGTGGACTGGTATGTCTCTGCATAAGAATTGCCAGTTGCCATCTGACAGAGATGCCTGGCAGTCACACTGTGCATCTACTGCTTACACAGCTGCATAATGCCGTTTTTTTATTATTATTTTTATTTTAGTATTATTATTTTTTTCGGCAACGCAGGTGATGATGATGATGATGTTCACGACGTATTTCCGTTTGCGTTTTTTGTGCGAGGGGGTAAAACGCGAATACTAAGCAGCGTGAAATCAAAAAAAATCAACGGTGTTTGCATGCATGTGGTCGCAGTGCTCGGCAAACATTACGTTTTGTCCCTGCAAACCTGCTGTTTTTGAAAGATCGTGAAAATTAGCGACACAGATGTTGGGTTGTTTACTCTGTCCGTATTTATATGTTTTGCTCATTTTTGGGAAGGATTGGGATCGCTTCAAATTCAAAGCGATAAGTCGGGGAAGTGAACTGCCTGAAAACTAAAAGTGAAAAAAAGTTTTGGAATAGTCTTTTCTTTCTCTGTTTGCACCCCGCTTGTCACAGGAAATCCTTCTGAAGCGTGAGAAGTTTGAAGCACTGGAGGCCGAGAAAGCCGAACGAGCGCTGGAAGAGCAGGTTGCCAGGGGCAACATGCTAGCCAAGGTAGGGCAGGCACACGTTGATGCCCCCCCCCCCCCCCTTGTCAGTGGTATGTGTTGTGCATGTACTTCCTATGCAAGTACAGTAACGTCTCGGTGAAATCCGACCCAAAGTGAAGGTTTAGCGCCCTCAACGTATACAGTTAGACCTCGCATAACCTCACACATCCGTTTTCCACGAAAATATCCGGATAGGTGAGGGAACCGGATAATCGAACACACATACGGTATGTATGCATGGCATAAGCTGTAAATCGGTAGCCAATGATTTTCTTCCGGATGGCGAGGGATCTGGATAAGCGAGGTCTGGCTGTAGAGCCCTTGCGGCGCTAGAAGTAGCACGGACGCGGCGGAATATACACATGCACAGTATGGTGATGTAATCGGGAATGGCCCTGGGCGTCAGTTTTGCACGCTGGGTCGGATTTCAGTTAGCACATCTGTACATGTGTTAGTGAATGAGTGAAATGCAGCCCCTGGGTTTGCGCATGGTTCAGTACATTTGGTGTCGTTTTCAACGGTACGGTATCCAGCCCCTGGGTTTGCGCATGGGTCAGTACCTTTGGTGTCGTTTTCTATGGTACACTACATTGTGCTAGTAAGAGAAATCCAGCCCTTTGGGGTTCGTGCAAGGTTCTGTACTTTTGGTGTCGTTTTCAACGGTACGGTATCCAGCGCCTGGGTTTGCGCATGGTGGAATTCTCGCACACACACACACACACATACATTCACACCAGAGTGCCTATATGCATATGCTGCAGTGGTGTCTTTGCAGTATTCTCCTGTTTCTCGTCATGTTGCTTCAAGTAACCGCTCTGTTTGTCTCTTTCGTGTGTGTGTGCATGTGTGTGTGTGTGTGTGTGTGCGTGCGTGTATGTTCTTGAACAGCCCACTACTGAAGCCGTCTACACTGAACTCAAGCGAGATGAAGAGTCCGACAAGAAAATTGCCTTCTCCCTTTTTGGTATGTCCTACGTCTACGTTGTGTTTGTGTTTGTCGTGTGCGTGTGTGTCCTCTCTCTCTCTCTCTCTCTCTCTCTCTCTCTCTCTCTCTCTCTCTCTCTCTCTCTCTCTCTCTCTCTCTCTCTCTCTCTCTCTCTCTCTCCTCTTTCTTTTTTTCTCTTTCTCTTTTTCTCACACACACACGCACACACACACACGCACACACACCACACACACACACCACACACACACACTCAAATGTTCATTGAGAATAGGGTTGTAGTGGCAAACCTTTTGACACTACTGTCCAGTGCTCTTCATTTGCCATAATTCTATTCTAATATACAGTCAGACCTCGCTTATCCGGTCCTCTTTTATCCGGATCCCTCGCCATCCGGAAGAAAATCTGTGTTTTTACCGATTTACAGCATATGCCATGCATACGTCCAGTATGTGTGTTCGATTATCCGGTTCCCTCGCCTATCCGGATATTTTTGTGGAAAGCGGATGTGTGCGGTCGAGGTCTGACTGTACTGTATTCTGTCGTGTCCATGTACAGGCCGCGCTACATCAGGAGCCAGTTCAGCAGCAGCAGCAACCAGTACAGTTGACATGACATCGGAGCGTGGTGAAGATGCATCTGCCTCTGCCCCCGCTGACGCTGATGAAGCGTCTAGTTCAGCAGCTGCTGCTCCTGTGACTGCCTCGCCGACTTGCGCCGCAGAGCCATCATCATCGTCGTCATCATCATTGGCGACTGCAGCAAGCAAATTGCAGCCGTTGGCAAGAAACAATGCGTTGCAGGTATGTACATGGTATGCATTCAAACAGCGTAATACTAATTTAATAAATACTCAAGTAAATAATAAATTCGACGGGTTCGCGTACCGGGCAGGTCAAGAACAAGGAGTCGTACAACTCCCTGGTCAAGAACCACCTTTCCGCTTCCGTGGGACGCCACCACCCCATGATCAGGCGTCAGATGCTCTTTGTAAATGTCGAATGTTTTGTTTTGTTTTTTCCTTGACACACACACACACACACACACACACACACACACATGCACAGACATGGGCATGTACTGTACATGTAGATCAGTTTTGTATTTGGCAAGCCTGGACATCTTTGAACCGTACGCTTTCTCTCTCTCTCTCTCTCTCTCTCTCTCTCTCTCTCTCTCTCTCTCTCTCTCTCTCTCTCTCTCTCTCTCTCTCTCTCTCTCTCTCTCTCTCTCTCTCTCTCATACACACACACACACACACACCCACACACACACACATACACACACTCTCTTCTTCTCTCTCTCACACACACACACACACACTCTCTCTCTCTCTCTCTCTCTCACTCACACACACACACACACACACACACACACTCTCTCTCTCTCTCTCTCTCTCTCTCTCTCTCTCTCTCTCTCTCTCTCTCTCTCTCTCCTCCCCTGCATTGAACATGTACAGGAAGCTGCCAAGAAGGCCACGCTCGCCAAGCAAACGTCAAGCTCTGCCTCCCGCAAGCGCAAATCCGCCCTTGAAGAGATAATGGAGGAAGAGGAGAGAAAGAAGCGCCTGAAGAAGCCAAGCGGTGGTGGTGGTAGCGGTGGTAGAAGTAGTGCAGCGTCGTCAATGGCCGCCGCCAACAAGGACTCCGCGTCTGCCTGGCTCCACCGAGGCATTGTGGTTAAAGTCATGAACAAACACAGCAACCTGTACAAGCAGAAGTGCACAGTCGAGTCGGTCACCAACCGGGGCTGTACGGCCCAGCTGCGCGACCCCGACACCGGGGAGCTTGTGCCCGTGCCGGATTCCGACCTGGAGACGGTCATCCCAGCCATTGGACGCAGCGTGATTGTGCTGAGCGGGGAGCATCGCGGCCTGGAAGCCGTACTGGAGAAGATCAACGTGGAGAATTTCTGCGTGAATGTGACCGTGGTGCGTAACTTGAAACAGCTCAAGCGCCTGCCCTACGAACACGTGAGTAAGATGGCCTCGAAGAAGTGATGCGACGAGTAAGTGAGTGAGGTTTGGCGGACTTTGGCCTTTCACCGTCGCCAGCGCTCTGTACTGTGTAGTGTGTTGTGTTATCCTGTCATCACATCGGCAATCGCTACAAACACGTGAGCAGGATGGCCTCGAAGAAGTGATGTTGTGAGCGAGTAAGGTTTGGCACTCTATACTATCTAGTGTTGAGTTATCCTGTATCAGCAGTTGCACTCTGCTCCCGGCTGTTCATCATCGTTCTCCTCAGCATACTGTGTGATGGGAGTCACACTGCTGGCCAATGTGTGTGTGTTTTCAACCTCTTGAATAAAAATAGCGCCGGACACAACGCAGCCCAAGCACTACAAACACTTTGCCGTGCACTCGAACTGTTGCATGCTGTCACAGTATGCCCTCCACTCCTTTGCCCCCCCCCCCCCCAGCTCTATCTTATGTGCTGGTCACATTTGAGAATTAGTATTTTTAAATACATTGCCACTGGTCTTGCCCGACTTTCAATGCTGTGTTTTGTACATTTTGATTTCTTGTGTCCTTGGTCTTGCTCAACTTTTACTGCCGTTGTTTTGTATACCCCAATCGTTAGGTCCTCGGCTTGTGGCATTTTGTTTCATTGTGTCCTTGGTCTTGCTCAACTTTCACTGCTGTTGTTTTGTGTACCCCAATCGTTAGGTCCTCGGCTTGTGGCATTTCCCGCTCGACCAAGACCCTATGCAGAGCTGGATCAGGTATTGCACACTCTGGGGGGTTATGTACAAACAACATGTACAAACAACAGTAGCAGTACTCACATCATAATGATTATACTGGATGCCGGGCCAAGTCCACGGAGAGTTGTATGAATCCAATCCATCTTGTATGCTAACTTTAATAATTATTAGATAAACATTGTTTTGTTCAAACATGTTGTTGGGTGACAGCATGTAGAGGTCACCGTGTTTGGAAACAGTGACCTTACTGCAACCATCCACCTGGGCTCTCTACCAACCGTGGATGGTAGTAAGGTCACTGTTTCCGAATACAGTGTCCTCCACCTTACGTACATGCTGTCAACCAACAGCATATTATCATACATGTGTACGGCTCCCTGATCCAATCACGATTCCAAAGACATTCGCCGAGTCTCCGATCAGACAGTCGCCCAAAATAAATTTAAATATATCGAGAATTAATGAGCGCACTAAACACGAGCAAAACGCACAGCAAGATAGCTCTGGCATTAGATTTCGAAACCAAATTCCAGCCAATAGAAAAAAAACTGAGTGGCAGAGTAGTGCAACAAACAGCGCACGTAAGGAGCGAGTGTTATTTCTGCGCCTGCGGCAGCCACTCTGTTGCTATCGATGCATGCGGCGCTCGCCACGTACTGAAGCCCGGGCAGTACGCACACAGAGTGCAGTAGCTGCTGCGGCGCGGACGCAGACACAACATGTGCATGCACCACGGGCAAGCATGCAGCCGGACAGCACAGAGGGCAATGCAGCTGGTCCCGGCACGCAAGCAGAACAAAGCACTTTGGAGCTGCCTGCACGCCAGAGCGGCCAGACACACCGACCAAAAACAACGCATCTGGATACTGGACACATTATGTGCAGTCAAGCCAATGCATCTGAGTGTTGACACAACATTCCGTAGGACCATAGCCACACCGAGCCTAGCTTCATGTCACAGCACAGTGCATGACAACGCATAGCTCTTCGGCCTGCGCTCAGCCGAGCAGCGTCAGTTGAGGAAGAAGCTATTCAGTGGCGGTGGCAGCTGCCGATGCCTTCTCATCCTCTTGGCTGGTGTGTTCCGGGTAGACTTTAGCCATATCATCCCAGCTGGCCTTGCCACGGCACAACAAGTCGACGGCCTCGCTTACTTTGCTGACCTGTGCGGAGAGAGAGAGAGAGAGAGAGAGAGTGTGAGTGGGTGTGTGAGAGAGAGAGAGAGAGAGTGAGTGGGTGAGAGAGAGAGAAAGAGAGAGAGAGAGAGAGACACACACACACACACACATGCGTGCGGACGCGCACGCACACACACATACAGACGTTGGGGCAGGTGAGGCTATCGTGAACAACTCAGATCACGTTTTAAAATACATGATCTCCACACGGGTAAACATCTAAACACCATTCTATCCACAACATCAGTACAAATACTGCCCAAACAAAGTTACAGTAGACTCGTACGCCCAAGAACGCGGTTCCAGAGGGCCAGTCTAGCAAAGTTCTAATTTTTCAGCGCCCCAGGCTACGTTCTTATTTCGCGTTCTTACGCGTCCAACGTGACCCGTGACGCTCATGTACAATGCACTTTGCGCTACATGTACCGGTTGTACACTACACATGCACGTGTAGTATGTAGCGCTGCACTGGGTGATGTTTTCGCGAGGACCCGACAAGAGTTTGTGGTTGCGGACTTGTTTTTCGTGTACTCAGACAAGATCATTTAAAAGGTGCAATCCGCTTGCAAAACAAACCGGCGCTCAAATATCACGTCTCTTTCTCTCTCTCCTTTTCAGAAGATTGCATTGTAGTTATTAGCTCCCAATTCGTTTGTCGAGCGTTTCCTTTTCGTTTCCTTTTCGAATGGCACCCAAACCCAAACTGAAGCAGGCGACCCTTTTTTGGCGTCGGAGTGATGCGTAAATTCTCGCTGCCATCTGGCAGAGTTGTAGAAGAGCGGGGTGAGACAGAAACAAATGAAATCGTAGAGGTGGAGACGTTCAGTTGTGCCCAATGTGAAAAAATGTCGCGTTCTTCAAAATCTTGGAGTTCGGTCTTAAATCCAGGCCGGGGCGTTCTTAGATTTCCAGCCTGGACGTTCTTGGGCGTACGAGTCTACTGTACATTTTACCACTGTTACGGTGAGCAGAAAGCCATGTCAAACACCGGAGCGCAAGGCCACGCACCACGATACTGTACTAGCGATTGAACGACAGCCTCAGGGGGCCGGCCATCCATAGTGCAAAACGATAAAGTTTCGTTTGTGGGTGGGTCGATAAGGCTTCGGTTATGGGTGGGTCGAGGACATTTTCGTTTTAAAAAAATACTGATAGCTGCAACACATATCAATCCATGCTAGCAGTAAGTCCATACTTGTAATAATTTTTCATTCAATAGGGGGGGGGGGTTGTAACTAAACTTTTGCGTTCCCTGAGAATTATCGATAAAGCCGGGATGGTCCCTTACCGGTACTCGCAGCTGCTTGGTGGTGTTTCGCTCTCTCAGTGTGACCGTGTCAGCGGTCAGAGTGGCAAAGTCCACCGTCATGTCGAACGGCACTCCAATCTCGTCCATGCGCGCGTACCGCCGTCCAATGGAGCTGCTGCTGTCGTCCACGAGATTAGCCAGGTTTAGGTCGGTGAGTTCCTCAGCTGTACGCAGCCACATAGGTTGGGAATAGGAGTCATACACACACATGCACACATGCACACACATGCACACACGTGCACACACGCACACGTGTGCACACACACACACACACCGTTGGACCATTGGACGCCCATCGCCGGAGGCGATGATAGCGATGCTACAGCAGAAGCCATAGCAACTTGTGCTGGGATTGCACCATTCAACAGCTTGCAAGGCTGAAGAATTGGCTGCCACTATTCAGCCTGGTCTACACCACACACACACCGTGGCACGTGACGTCACATCACTCACTGAGCCCATTACATCATGCAAAATACGACACGACATCACGAATAGCAGGAAATACCCTGACAAGGTGACTACTCTAATAAGGGGGACGGACCACACAGACAAGGTGACCACTCTGGTAAGGGAACCACTCTGACAGGGGGACCACTCTGACAGGGGGACCACTCTGACAGGGGGACCACTCTGACAGGGGGACCACTTTGATAAGGTGACCACCTGTCCCAGAGGACCACTACAGTCAGGACCAATGGATATTATTTCCAGTCAAACGACCCTGGATAAGGAGGTCACCTGTACATAAGGACCACACCGACAAGTATAAGCAAGAGTACATACCCTCTTTTTCCGTTGTACGGTGCATGTACAAAGTACAAAGGTCAAATCGCAGGCTACCAGTATGCCTAAACATCTGTGCGCGACACGTGCACACGTACATATTTGCGCGGGAGTGCATCGGCTGGCGAAACTTGCTTTGGTCGAGTTGGAAGTCTTTTGTTCTCATGTAGTGTTTCTCCGGAGCGTTGGAAGTCTTTTTGTTCTCATGTAGTGTTTCTCCGGAGCGTTGGAAGTCTTTTTCTTCTCATGTAGTGTTTCTCCGGAGAGTTGGAAGTCTTTTTGTTCTCATGTAGTGTTTCTCCGGAGCGTTGGAAGTCTTTTTCTTCTCATGTAGTGTTTCTCCGGAGAGTTGGAAGTCTTTTTGTTCTCATGTAGTGTTTCTCCGGAGCGTTGGAAGTCTTTTTCTTCTCATGTAGTGTTTCTCCGGAGCGTTGGAAGTCTTTTTGTTCTCATGTAGTGTTTCTCCGGAGCGTTGGAAGTCTTTTTCTTCTCATGTAGTGTTTCTCCGGAGCGTTGGAAGTCTTTTTCTTCTCATGTAGTGTTTCTCCGGAGCGTTGGAAGTCTTTTTGTTCTCATGTAGTGTTTCTCCGGAGCGTTGGAAGTCTTTTTCTTCTCATGTAGTGTTTCTCCGGAGCGTTGGAAGTCTTTTTCTTCTCATGTAGTGTTTCTCCGGAGCGTTGGAAGTCTTTTTCTTCTTATGTAGTGTTTCTCCGGAGCATTGGAAGTCTTTTTCTTCTCACGTAGTGTTTCTCCGGAGCGTTGGAAGTCTTTTTCTTCTCATGTAGTGTTTCTCCGGAGCGTTGGAAGTCTTTTTCTTCTCATGTAGTGTTTCTCCGGAGCGTTGGAAGTCTTTTTCTTCTCTTGTAGTGTTTCTCCGGAACGTTGGAAGTCTTTTTCTTCTTATGTAGTGTTTCTCCGGAGTGTTGGAAGTCTTTTTGTTCTCATGTAGTGTTTCTCCGGAGCGTTGGAAGTCTTTTTCTTCTCATGTAGTGTTTCTCCGGAGCGTTGGAAGTCTTTTTGTTCTCATGTAGTGTTTCTCCGGAGCGTTGGAAGTCTTTTTCTTCTCATGTAGTGTTTCTCCGGAGCGTTGGAAGTCTTTTTGTTCTCATGTAGTGTTTCTCCGGAGCGTTGGAAGTCTTTTTGTTCTCATGTAGTATTTCTCCGGAGCGTTGGAAGTCTTTTTGTTCTCATGTAGTGTTTCTCCGGAGCGTTGGAAGTCTTTTTCTTCTCATGTAGTGTTTCTCCGGAGCGTTGGAAGTCTTTTTCTTCTCATGTAGTGTTTCTCCGGAGCGTTGGAAGTCTTTTTGTTCTCATGTAGTGTTTCTCCGGAGCGTTGGAAGTCTTTTTGTTCTCATGTAGTGTTTCTCCGGAGCGTTGGAAGTCTTTTTGTTCTCACGTAGTGTTTCTCCGGAGCGTTGAAAGTCTTTTTCTTACCTGTAGCATTATGGCTCCGCCACGAGCGAAACGTACAATCCTCACTCTCGCCCAGCGAGTGAAAGTCATTGAAATGTCTGACGGAGGAAAGTCTGCTAGGAAGATTGCGGAGGAATTCGGCGTTGGCAAAACGCAGGTTCAAGCCATCATCCGCGATCGTGAAACTGTAATGAAGGACATAGCCGCCGGGGTTCCATCGAACAGCCAGCGAGGTAGGAGGAGAACAGGTTTGGAAGACGTGAAGGAAGTTGTCTGGGAGTGGTTCCAAGTCACTAGATCCAAGCGGATCCCGCTCTCCGGACCATTGCTCCAGCAGAAAGCGCGCGAGTTTGCTGTTCAGCTGGGACAGGAGAAGTTTACTGCCTCTATGGTTGGCTGGAAGCGTTCCGGAAAAGACATGGAATCTCCTTCTTGGCAATCTGCGGCGAGAACGCTGATGTTGCAGGTGATGTCGTAGCTGACTGGAAATCACGTCTGCCGACGAACTGCACTGGCTACAAAGCGGAAGAAATCTTCAATATGGACGAGTCTGAATTTTTCTTCCGTGCTTTGCCAGGGAAGACGCTGGCCCTGAAAGGGGAGACGTGTAGCGGTGAAAAAATCCAAAGAAAGACCGACTGCTATGTTTTGCTGCTCGTTGACGGGAGAGAAGCTCAAGCCGCTGGTTGTATGGAAGTCGGCCAAGCCCAGATGCTTCAAGAATTCGGATCTGGCCAAACTTGGAGTCACCTGGCGCTTCAACAAGAAAGTCTGGATGAACAGCTCTCTGTTTGAAGAGTGGGTAGTAGGTGTGGATATACAGATGCAGCGTCAAAAACGCAAAATTTTGCTGTTCCTTGACAATGCGCCGTGCCATCCCAACTTGAACGAGAAGCTGCAGAATGTTCGCTTGCAGTTCTATCCTCCCAACACGACATCTTGCCTCCAGCCTCTTGATCAGGGCATACTTCGTCACATCAAGTCCCTTTACCGGCAAAGGCTTCTGAAGCATGTGATATGCCACATGGATGACGCTGACTCTGCAGCTGGTGTTTCGAAGGCAGTGAATGTCCTGCATGCGGTGCAGTGGATAGCTGCAGCCTGGAAGGACACAAAACCATCGGTCATCACATCCTGCTTTCGGCATGCTGGATATGACGCGCTTGGAGAAGTAGAAGAACCTGCCGAGAACGGAGCTGAGGCAGAATTGGAGACCCTTGTGCATCAAGCAGTTCCAGGTGCTTCTGCTGCTGACTTCCTGGCAATCGATAAAAGCTTGCTCACGTTCGAAACTCTCGCTGCCGACTATGAGAGGACGCTTATTGAGCGTGCAAAGAACGGAGGACAGCAGGAGGAACTCGATGAGGATGGCGAAGATGTAGAAAATGAGCACACTGTTGAGGAGCCTGAACCAGCTCTCAAGACGTACCGTGATGCCCTTGGCCATCTTTCAGACTTGGAGAATTTCACCAAGTCACAAGTTGGCGGCGACGAGTTGTATTCGCTCATCATTCAAGCGAAGTCTATTGTTCAAGGAGCAGTCGTCAGGCAAGCTGCAGCAGGCAAGCAGAAATCCGTCTTGGATTTCTTCAATCCTGCCTCCAAGTCCGAGTCCCCAGCTGTTGCTGCTGTGCGTGCTGACAAGTCCGAGGCTACAGTACTGGCGACTTCGTCACAGAAGGCAAGTGTTGTCCCTGTGTGCATCGACTTGGCAGATCCAGCTGTTGCTACCGTGCATGCTGACAAGTCTGAGGCTCCAGTGCTGGCGACTTCGCCACACGAGCCAGGTGTTGCACCTGTGTGCATGGACTTGGCAGATCTAGTGTGCTTGAAGTGCGGGAATGGTACTCCCCCCCCCCCCCCCCCTACGGATGCGGAAGGCTGGGCCTCTATTCGAATCTCACACAAACTATGAATTATTTTCAAGGTGGCTTTGATAGTAACGAAGCCACCACCATTACGGGTACATGGACATGTACTGAGAGTGTTGTCCAGAGATCCCGATAGTACTTAGTACTTACAGAGCTTGTGCAGGAACGGCGTGAACTCCTCCTTGTTACTGAGGGGCAGGACGGCACACTTCACAGGGCACACAGCCGCTGGCAGGCTCAGCCACTGCAGTGTGGCAGTTGTAGGGCATGGTGATCATGGTGGTCGTGGTGGTGGCAGCATCACCAGATGGCAGTATTGAACGCGGGGACGCACATGCATGCACAGACGAACACAGACAAACAGACAGACACACACACACAGACACACATACACACGTGCACGCATGCAAACACACACACACACACACACACACACACACGTACACATTTGCATAGCCAGACACCAACATTAGCAATAAAAAGATGAGCAAATCAGCAAGCCGCTGTGCGTACAGCTTTTATCAGACTTATAACATCACAGTGCACACTCCCCCGATCCCCACAGAGACGGTGAGTTCCACCCCCCACCCATTCTCTTGCTTACCGTCCTCTGTGCGTCTTCCGGTCGCACCTGGAAATTCTGCTCCAGAATGGCGTGCAGGATACGCGAGATGCCAAACGACGGCTCAATGACGTGCGGGAATATCTTCTCCTCTACGAAGGGGGAGGGGGGGGGGGGGAGAATGTATGTGAGAGAGAGAGACCAGCAGACAGACAAGGAAATGACAAACTGGACCAAAACCAAACTAGTTTGCCAATACAGAGACACGGGCATTGGCAGCGCACCCACACGGCGGCATGAAAGACACTGAATTATGGCAGTGGACACAGAGAAGATAACATGATGCTGGGGCTTGAGTACCACTGCCACTACTTCACCCTCTGTTCCCCAATAGGTCGATTTCGCAATGACATCGTTTGTACCACCACCACCACCCCACCACACAGCCTCCTGCAGGCTCCTGGGCATGGTCGTGTAGGGTATTGAACAGTGCATTGCTGATCTATGGTTGTGTGGGGTGTTGAACAGTGCATTGCTGATCTATGGTTGTGTAGGGTGTTGAACAGTGCATTGCTGATCTATGGTTGTGTAGGGTGTTGACCAGTGCATTGCTGATCCTGGCATAGTCACATGCCTTACCCCAGACACATACATTACATGTTTTTGGCAATGCACAATGCGCTTATTGAGTGTGCCAGCGGAAACAATGGAAGAACTGCATTACATTCAGACTGTGACAGTCGACAGTCAGTTTTAAAGCAGCCCCTGATGAAAAATTGCACTCCGCTCTCAAGCGGAGCACATACATCCGTCATCATTTTGCGAGAACTGTGGCAATATGCCCAGTGAGAAGGCAGATTTTGCCTGTGCTTCTGCTGAAGTAAAATAAAGCTGTGAACACACAAGCAGGTTCTCACCATAGATGTCCTTCTTGAAGCGCTTGACAGATTTTATGTGCTCTGGCTTGACGGTGAAGGACTTGCCTTCGATCGTCACCTCTGCAGATCTGCGATGGAGCGGAACAGAACACGAGAACGCACTGAAATGAGTTTGAGAAATGGTCACCCACATCCAAGCGCGTACGCGCCTCATCACACCCTGCACACCCCAACATCCATACACCTGCCTGTGCACACGTGCACACACACACGTACACGGTCGCACACACGCACACACACATATACACACATATGCACACATATGTACACACATATGCACACACACACACACACCTACACCCACACCTACACCTACACCCACACACACACATACCATGTACCATGTATACGCCCGTCACAAGAGAAGCACGCAAATCTGCAAATGCACTGGATGTGCACCCACAGATTTTCTCTTATAGCAACGATAGCGAACAAGATCTGAATGAGACAGATCAAGACTTGCGCCAGATAACTGTCTAATCTACACAACTGGCAAAGCCACGTGAATCGACCCCCCAATGCACACCTGGTCTACACCACACGGAGTACATCAGCATAAAACGGCCAAGACAGTTACCTATGCACACCCTACACTTGCTGGGGTAACCAGTATAGACAGCACGCTGCTTTGATAGAAGCAGACACTAGATGCACTGGTACCTTGAAGTGAAATTGGAGTTACTTTACCAACCAGCCTCGGCTACTGAGTACTGGGAACCCAGAACCATCAGACATACCAACAACCTCAGCCCAACACAAACACACACACACACACACACACACACACACACACACACACACACACACACACATACACCCCCCCCCCCCCACACACACACACACACATACCCCCCCCCCCCACACACACCAACACACCAACACACCCACCCGCAACACACACACACAGACACAGACACAGACACACACGCACACATAAGAGTGACAAATTAACCTCTTCTCCTACCCGTTGGTTGCTAGTGACTCCTCAAGCTGAGCTGCTTCCGGATCCTGGAGCGCATGCAGATAAGGCGTAACAACCTTTTCATCTCCTGGATGGTTGCCACAAGACACGCACACACAATGATATCATGATCAATGCAACATAACGTCTCCCAAAAACAAGTGCATGGAAAGAGAGCGCGGCAAAGAAGCTGCTCAATGATTTGTACAGAGTGAACGAGAACGAGAGAGAGAGAGAGAGAGAGAGAGAGAGAGAGAGAGAGAGAGAGAGAGAGAGAGAGAGAGAGAGAGAGAGAGAGAGAGAGAGAGAGAGAGAGAGAGAGAGAGAGAGAGAGAGAGAGAGAGAGAGAGAGAGACAGAGAGACAGAGAGAGAGACAGAGACAGAGACAGAGAGAGACAGAGACAGAGAGAGACAGAGAGAGACAGAGAGAGACAGAGAGAGAGAGAGAGAGAGAGAGATAGAGAGACAGAGAGAGAAGGAGACAGAGGGAGAGATAGATAGATAGAGAGAGAGAGAGCAACTTTTAATACACAGTATAGGCTAGAACCCCCACCCTCCCCACAGAAAAGCAACAACACAACGTACCACGGAATGCTTTGCCCATGACCTTCTTATCGGTACAGACTTCGACGACATCTACAGATTGCGGCTCCTTCAGCCTGACCTGCGCACAGAGGCTGGTCTTGGAAGCTGCTGAGTGTAGCTTCAGATCAAAGTCTGAACGGTCGGCACATCCAACACACTCTACCCAGCCCTGGAGTGAGAGAGATTGTGTGAGTGAGAGAGAGAGAGAGAGAGAGAGAGAGAGAGAGAGAGAGGTGTGTGTGTGTGTGTGTGTGTGTGTGTGTGAGAGAGTGAGAGAGTGAGAGTGAGTGAGAGAGAGAGAAAGAGACAGAAAGAGAGAGAGAGAGAGAGAGAGAGAGAGAGAGAGAGAGAGAGAGAGAGAGAGAGAGAGAGACAGACAGACAGACAGAGGCAGAGAGACAGACAGAGACAGAGAGAGACAGAGAGAGAGAGAGAGAGAGAGAGAGAGAGAGAGAGAGAGAGAGAGAGAGAGAGAGAGAAGACAGAGAGAGAGAGATGCAAATAAAAGCAAACAGACGCCCACATTTGTCAGAGGACTAGCAATACACAGCCCAGCTACAAACTGATTCCAGACAAGCTTTAAGTGCACCGTCCACTCTGCAATGTTAATCAGACTATAGCAAGAATAATAAGAACATGCTAGGGAATATGGAGCATAACATGTGTGCACACACACGCACTTCTGATGTACGGAGTCCAACAGAATTCGGCTAGTCAAATGCGTCACAAACAAAGCACTGCAAGCCATATCACAGCCTTTTAGCTGTACTCTGGTTAGCCGGAGACTGCAACAACCGCCATTGGTGAGCTTTGGTCGTATACTCCCTGAGAGCGGGTTATTGGTCTTTCACCCTATCAGCGAGGAGGGGAGAAAGCAAGGGCACCCTTTGAATGGTCAATCGGGTTTCAACTCAGATTCACGGGAGCAGTCAGAACAGCAGTTCATGAAACAGAACGACCAAAACAGAAGCGCAGTAATCATTGCAATGCGGTAGCCTGAACCTATTCTGAACGCTCCAGAACCAGTCCAGCCAATCAGACACCCCTAATCTGAGCAATCCTGTTCCCGGGTGAGACCAATCAAACACACCCTATATGTGGTCCTGTACTCTAGCTAGCCTCGACTTGCCACCATTCCAAAGTAGGACACCTATAACCAAGAGTATATAACCCCCCAAGAGTGTGCAACTCTGCATACGGGGTCTCCGACGGCGAAAACTCACACCACATGTCTCAGATACCTTTGTACTACGTACAAACGTAGGATAGCGTGCGCGCAATCCGAAAATCTGCCGTGTTCATGCTGGGGATTTGCATACGTGCAGTGAGTTTCTGTCAGAGAGTGCTTTTTTCAGTACTCCGCTGCTCGCTAAAAACGGGCTGGAAA